CCCCCCCCCCCCCCCCCCCCCCCCCCCCCCCCCCCCCCCCCCCCCCCCCCCCCCCCCCCCCCCGAGGCCGTGAAGATGAGGATGGAGGAGGTGTGTTGGTTCGAGATGTTTTCACGCTGGCGCTAGTATGGTCGGATGCCTATGTACGTGCATGAACCCCTGTTCAAGGTGACTGTGCCGCATCTATCTGTCCCTGGATCCGAACCTCATGTCAACCATCACCGTCATATGGGCAAGTCGTTCGAAAGATGCCGCGTCACATCGAAGCCTCCAATAGGCGCGGCGTCAGTCGTTCACCGAGCGATCACCCCCCTGTCCATACAGCCTGCGAGCGCCTTCATCACACCGGGCGCCGGTGCTCGACCTCCCAGACGACTGACATCGCGGCCCCTCAACTATGAGTATCCATAGGAACACGCGGAGGTGTGTCAGTCCACGATTGTAGCTCGCGAGTTGTCGTCGTCATCTACGACCGAAGAATCGGCTGTCGGCTTGATGCCGACATAGGAACGTCGGTCCCCAGAGGGTGAAGTTGCCACGAGTGTCGGGCAAGGAATCTTCGCAACCCCAAGCCTGCGGGTGTAGACTCGGAACTCGACGTCTAGCAGCTCCTTCGTACGTTCGCGCTTCTTCAGAAGTTCTTCGTTCTTCTTCTCCCTCAGCATGCTCGAGAAGTTGATCTTCCAGTCGTCGATGAAGAAGCCGGCGATGGAGCCGGCGACAAGGCTGGCGGTGATGTAGGTTAGCAATGTCATTGCGGGTGAGCGTGGGTGGAACTGTTCTCGCGAGGAGATGATAGCTGTGGGAAAATGTAAGTCGTGTCGCTGGTTCTAACGGAAGTCTTGTCGCGTCATAAACACCCTGATGAGAGACCGCCGGGTACCCAGCGTGGTAACCTTGGATCGAACACTGATATTGGATCTTTTTTCGATTAGTAGGTTGTCAATTGCACTGGTAGTTGTCTCCGATATGATGGCCGCTGATCTGTTCTTCCTCTTCCGCGTTGAAGACAGCCGGGTGTGTGTGTCGACCACATAACCAAGCCTTCGTCAGTCGCCAGTTAAATCACCATTGCAGACTGGTACCAGCGCTGCTCAACCCTATTTCAGCTATCCAAGTTAATACCAAACTGATCTTCAAGAGCTTGGGCTTCCATCGTTCGCGACTGATTCAATATATGGTCTGGCGAATACAACGCACTGTGGCATGCCTGACTATTTCGATATTCTTACATTGATATGCCGGTGCCATGTTGATGCTCGAGAAAGCTGGTCCTGTGCCGCGTGCCTTGGGAAGCGTTCCGAGGCGAGCTGGGAAGATCTTCGACGACGCAGGCAGGGCAAAAGGAAAACAGCAACCATAATAGTGATAATGAGAACGGCGATGAAAACGACGAATACAACGAGGAAGATAGTTATTTTAACAGAACTCAATGAGGACGAGAACGACTACAAGAGCAATGAGAACGATGAGTGCAGCGATGTAACCAAGACGGCTTCAGCTGGATCTCAAGACTCATGAGCTCCCCTAGACTGTATCGAGTCATGCATGAGACTTTGGCTCAATCGACGCGAGAGGGTTCGAACACGTGAACATCAACCCAATCTCCTACATCGCAGACGCCATCCACTGAAGCCGTTTCTCTCCATCGCAGGCTATGACTCAGCAAAAACACTCAAACTTGGCTTCCGGCACGGTAGCCAAAATAGCATTGAAACGATTCGACTGCCGACCTCGCCAAGCTTCAAGCAATCAACTTTGTGTAAAACGAGGAGAAGGGGGGAAAACACCATAAATACAAAATAGTCACAGCAAGGCGAGAGGAAACTGGTTAGAGTGATCGGAATCGCATGACGTCGAATTCTGGTCCTGTCTTGAGTATATTGTTCGTCAGCAACAATCACCGAGTCGAGACCCTGAGTGAATCCGCAAGCGACCCCGACATCCCTGGCCAAAGTCTCGCGGAGATTTTGTAGAAACAGGCAAAAGCGCCGACGACGAACCACGCTTCCCCGACCAGGCCACCGCGTGCTTGAAAAGGTCGATCGTGGTGTGCGAGGTCAAGAGCGTCCGATCACATCCTGGTGTGTCACCTTGGCGCGCGGGATGCCAATTCAGGCACGAGACCAGAAAGGTGGCCCAAAGAGGTAGGAAACACCCATTTTTGGGCCTGCGGTGCCTGTGAGAGGTAGATTCGGACGTCTGGGAGTCGTGGGTTAGAAATAGATGTGACCCCGTTTGAGCTTAATGGCGTGGCTGTGGGGAATGCACCTCTTAAGACCGTCTGATAAGTTCCATGTTCTCTAGCCGATCCGGGGTCTGGTCGCTTGCGCATGAACGACAGCGGGAGAGCAGCGATATTGCCGAGTCAGTGGTAATAAACAATTCGAAAGTCGATAGGCGAGGCCGAGACCTCAGTGGGCCGACCTCTTTCGCCCGAATCAGGGGTTGGTGTTTTTTTGGTGATGCCGGCCGAGGTGCCGGAGGGCCGGGAATAGTTCACGTCAAGTGCGCCGGGACCCACTCCGCGTTCAGCTTGAGCGCAGAGAATGGGATGACAGTTTGGAAAGGCCATCTACTTGGTAAGCGACTTAAGCTTAGCAGTGGCACCTAAGATAGGAGAACCCTTATGAACGTGGTACAATTGGATGCTGAAAATAGCGGCTTCCATGTCGAGAACCCACTCGTGGAGTTCGCTCACTTAGACTTCCACAGAATAGAGGTAAGTTCCCCAGAATAGAGGTAGAGATAGAGATTGACGACTGGAACCTACTAAGCGAGGGGTATAACGGAGATGAGTTGGCATAGCAGAGATCCAGCCTTACGCCATGATATAAGATCTTTGAGAAATCCAGTCGATTGGGAAAGAATCTAGATCATCATCCGAACTCAAGACATCAAGCGCCAGCGCATCATCTCCTTTCTCTTCTTCCTTTTTACAGCACTCGCCTCTCCTTCTTGACGAAGAAACTTCTTGACGAAGATGAGAAACATGTCGACGAAACAGGTTTTGTCCGTTCTTGCCCTTCTTATCGGCGCCGGCATCGCCTCACCGGCACCCTACCCTAAAAAGGGTGACCACTCCGGTTTTCCAAAGGGCTCCAAGCCCGGCTTCGCCCCCTCCGGCGCCGTCCCTTCGCTCCCTCAACACTCCGGCACCACGGATCCCGTAACGAACCCCCTCCAGCCGGCCGCAAGTGGTACACCAAGCAAGGGAAACAGCACCGGCGGCGGACCCACGCTCCCGTCCGGCTACAAAAAGATCGTCTTCCAAGATGACTTCTCCAAGCAACAGGCCGGCGCCCTCCCCGATTCCTCAAAGTGGACCTTCGACGTCGGCACGAGCTACCCCGGCGGCGCCGCGAACTGGGGCACGCAGGAGATCCAGACCTACACGAAGGACACCAAAAACATCGGCATCACGTCGAGCGGCACGCTGGCCATCACCCCGATCAAGAACGGCGAGTCCTGGACCTCGTCGCGCATCGAGACCAACGCCGCGCAGGACTTCAAGTGCCCCGAGGGCGGCAAGCTGCGCATGGAGGCCAGCATCATGATCCCGGCGTCAGACCCGTCCACGCAGGCCGGCATCTGGCCCGCCTTCTGGTCCATGGGCTCCGCCTTCCGGACCAACGTGACCTCGTGGCCCAGCGTCGGCGAGATCGACATGCTCGAGGTGTCCAACGGCGTCGGCACCGTCTTCCAGACGGCCCACTGCGGCGTCATCGACGGCGGGCCGTGCAACGAGAAGACGGGCCTGGGCACCAGCGCCGAGTTCCCCCGCGGGGAGTTCGTCAAGGTCGCGTGCGAGGTCGACCGCTCCGCCGGCGGCGGCGGGTTCCAGCAGGAGAAGCTCGTCTGGTACGTCAACGACAAGCCCACGCAGACCATCACCGGCCAGCAGATCGGCGACGAGACGTACTGGAGCAACCTCGCCCGCACCAGCAAGATGATCCTGCTCAACGTCGCCATCGGCGGCGAGTTCCCCGATGCGAAGGCCGGTACCAAGACACCCAACGCGCAGTCCGTCGGCGGCGAGAAGTCCAGGATGGAGGTCAAGTACGTGGCGGTTTACAGCACTTGAGCCAATTTTGGCATCTTCGACAACATATCTTCAGTTCTTCCATCACCTCTTTGAGACTCGGGTGCTGGATTTAGTACTATACTTTGGACTTGTACATATGAACGTTGAGCGAGCAATGGTCGACCTGCATGGCGTTAGTTTTGTTCTTTAGCATTGTTATATATTAAACTCGAATATATGAAGCACTCAGACACACTAACCAGTTGGCTAAATTCGAAAGGACCCATCACGGCGTTATCCTTTTCTTTTCTTTTCTTTTCTAGACATTTTGAAGTTAAGTGGCCCGTGTGTTTAATTCTAGGAATTCCTTTGGCAAGGTAAGGTAACGTAAGGTAGGTGGTTATTGCCTTTGTAGGTACCATATCCACATTCACCGCACAGAAAGCCACTGGTCGTCCTTCATTGATTTCCCATCTACACCTCACCTCACAAAAGTTCTCCATCGCCGACATCTACTCTATTCGCAAAAGCCATCGTTCAAAAGGAGATACGACGGCCCCCTCCCCATTCTCTTCGCCGACATTTGCGTACTCATCGCAGCAGCCACTCTATTGCAAAAGCCATTGAACGACGCTTTACTTTGACTGTCATTCCCAGATAAGATGGCCGCCACTGAGCTAGACAACGTGAGCGGTACGTATGCTTTCCATGGACCATGAATGGTCCGAAACTTCTACTGACATGCTATCCAGCAATGCTCGAGTGGCAGTTCAAGACGATTTGGGATACCTACGGTCGAGGCGATCACGATGATGCCGAGCAGATGGCCGCAGAGCTTTTGATGGAGCCCAGACTGAGCGATTTCCACCAGGCCGGCATGCATCTGCTGCTCTCCATGTCTCCCATTGACTACATTCATCACGGCAACGAGGCTGTTCGTCTTTATCAATCTGTCCTCAACGAGACCATCGAGATGTCGCCCAAGCAGCGGGCCACCATCGAGCGCATGCTGAATGATGCGAAGATCTCTTTGGAGCAGGGACGTGCCGACAAGGCCGCCATCTTGAGGAACATTGAGAAACTGATGTAGGTTGTCACCATCCGACATGAGAACTATGGACTGACCGTCGCCAGCGCTTCGGGAAAGACGATGAAAGATCTCCAAGACGAGAACATCAGGGAGATGCATGCACAGCTCGAACTTGATCTTGTTGCGGCCGGTTCGCGCTCCGATGCGCATGACACCGAAAAGGCTCCGGTAGCGGATCGCGAGGCCATTCGACCCAGCACGAGTCTGCCAGAAACGGTATCTCAGAGCACTGGAGTGGGCCGATCTCAGTCCACTGCTCTTACTGAGATCGACATCGACTTCGACGACAACTCATCCCTCCCCGACATCAACCAGAAGTAGCTCGATGCCGGGACGGGCCTCCGTTTGGTTTATTGCGTGGCCTGCAGTAGGTTCTGCAGGTCTAGCATCTATCCGGTCATCATCATCTCTGGCCATCATCGTCTTTGGCCTTGTTGTTGTCTCCGCCCCTCGTCGTCTCCAGCCCCCATGGTCTCTGACCATCATCGTCTCCGCCCCTCGTCGTCTCCGGCTCCCATCGTCTCCGGTCATCGTCGTCTCCAGCCATCGTCGTCCTCAGCCATCGTCGTCTCCGGTCTTTGAGTAACTATAGTACGGAAGGCATCCTGAAGGGTCTGCGGACGGGGAGAGCAGCATTTTGGGGATACTGTTCCATTGTTTTAGGGAGTCCATAATTAGCAGAAAAACGAAGTTTATTCTTCTTGAACTCTTGATTTCATGATGGCTCCAAAAGGCTCCTTCCAAAAAGCTCCTTCAAAAAGCTGAGGTGAATTTTAGTAAACGCATGGGCGGGCGCTCCTGCCTCAAACTACCTAGGTACCTTACCTTACACTTAAGGTACCTTGGAAACATCCACATGTAGTCTTATTTCTCCACACAATCACCAACCTGCTCAACTTCTTTTCCTCTCGCCACCTACTTTCACAAAATACCAGTGACCACTTGTCCAACCCAGATATTCATAGCTTTGAGTAAGCAACGCATTCGTTATATACCGCAAAAGCAAGGCGGCCGCCGAAGCAGATACGACCCCCGTCGAGTCCAAAGTCGCCGAGACTAAGAACCAGTCTGACCAATCCAAAACGAGGGGCACAGTCACGTCTGGAGATGGGCAAAGGGATGCGTCCTCTCCCAGGAAGGCTAAGGCTCAGACATCCGGCACACCTAGCCCTCCTATGGACGACCCTGGCATGCCCCTCTGGTCGGAGTCGGATGAATCGGATCGAGACGCCCAGAATGTCTCCCACGGCAAGAGGGTTGCAACAGAGCAGAAGCAGCTTGAGGAGAAGGCTCACGACCCCGAACTCGTCAGTCTGAAGCAGAAGTTGGATGAGGTCATCGAGAAGGTTGAGAATTTCCGTGGCATTGAATTCATGATCTCGGCGAAGATGATGAATGAGATCAGGGACACCTTGGGTGGTATCGCCACCCTGGCCACAAAATCCTTCACGAACTCATCACCGTACCGAGAAATCTGTAAGCACTTTCTCCAAAGAACTGGATCCACTTCTGAGGCATCCTTCTGGGCTTTGGCCATCCATGTGGTTGCCCCTGATCAGGGCTTGTCCAAGGTTTGGCATAAACACAAGACGGAGAGGGACATTCTGGAAGCGATAGTTAATATCATCCGGACAATTGCGTATAGTGGATGCCCTTCCAAGGAGTTGCTCGCTGTTCCTTATACGGTGAAGCATTCCTTGATCGACTACGAGTGTAAGCTGGCTAGAAACCCATGTGGTTCAGATGTCATGGGAGATGTAGATATACGCATTACCAGACAGATATTTTCACGAACATGATCACTCAAGCGATGGAACTCTGGAAGTTGTTTGAACAAGGTGAAAAGTCTCTTGTTGTGCCACTCGAAGGGGGCGTAAATCGCAGAATTACGCGAGAATACTATGTACAATGAACTTCTAATATGTACCGGAAAGGATACACGTCTCATCTATCATCTCCTTTTATACAGGTGCAGCAGACCGGAAACGGTCACCGCTTAGTACTGGGCAGAGCGGCGAGCCTTGCGAGCAGCACGGCGGCGCTTGCAGCCAGAGCCGGAGCCGGAGGTGGGGGCGGCGGCAGCGGCAGAGGTGGTAGAGGCAGCGGCGGCGCTGGAAGGAGCAGCGCTGGAGGGGGCAGCGGCAGCGGAGGTGACGAGGGTGGTGGGGGCAGCAGCGGCCGGGGCGGAAGAGGCGGCGGCGGCGCTGGTGGCAGCGGGGGCGGAGGCGGCGGCGGAAGAAGCGGGGGCAGAGCCGGAGTCGGAGCCGGAGGAGCCAGCGCCGTAGACGGCAGGGCCGGGGATGACGCTGAGAGGACTTGTTAGACTGTGATTTCAATGCAGATGTCGCAGTGGTAAGCTTACTAGTTGGAGATGGTGTTGTAGATGTTGATCAACAGACCGGGGTCGGTGGCCTTGTAAGCACCGGGGAAGCTGACACCGGCGGGCTTAGCAGTGCCACTCGACTCTATCTTCAGCTGGTAGCAGCTGTGAACCTTTTGTTAGCTTCTTCATTCTTTCTCGTGATCGTTTGTGGATGAACAATGCTGCAGTATTGTGTTGTGATGTGAGGAGGAAGATACGTGGGCTGGTTGGGGCTGGCGGTTGGGGCCGGCTGGTGACACAGCCGTTGGCACCTGGTGACTCCGGCCCCACCACGATATGAATGTAGAGAGTGCTCTTACCTCATGTAGTACTGGGCACCACCCTCGGAGCCGGCAGCGTGGAGAGCGACGGTCTCGGCACGGAGGAGGTAGTCGCCGGGGGCGATGTCGGAGGGGATGACGAAGTTCTGCTTGCCGCAGCCCTCGTTGATGAGGTCGTTGCCCCAGGTGTTGTTGTTGGCGAAGTAGCCGGACTCGAAGACCTTGAAGAACTCGGAGGAGCCGTCGGCGGCGGCGGCGTCGGCGACGGAGCTGAGGTAGATCATGACGGGGCCGTGGTGGGCGCCGCCGATGGCCTCCTCGGAGCAGGCGCGGGTGTTGTGCTGGTGCATCTCGACGGTGATGGTGTCGCCGGCCTTGACGCCGCAGGTGGAGGGGGCGGCGGCGGCGCCGGCGTTGCAGCGCATGTCGTTGGAGGTGGGGTCCTGGACGGGCGAGTTGGAGGCCGGCATGCGCACGCAGGTCGACTCCTTGTCCTCGCCGTTGACCCAGAGTTGCTGGAAGATGGCGTGGCCGGCGACCATGTTGGCCATGGAGGCGGTGAGGGCGAGGGCGGCGATGGTCTTCATCTTGACGGTTGTCGGTGGTGAAAAAAGAAGGACGGTTTGGATTTCCGGGCGTTAGAAGTAATGTGCACACAAAGGTGAAAATGAGTGAAGTGACGCCGGCGTCGAGCTGTAGAGAATGACTGAAAGTAATGAGTGGACAGATGAAGCGACTGTTCTGTTGGAGAAGAAAGATAGTCGAGTGACGAGACAGGCAGACTTCAGTCCATATATGTACGCTTCAGCCTTCAACGACTACACTTGTTTCCCTCGTCGACCATCACCCCACCTTCGGATAGGCCATGCCACTTCAGAGATGCCAAGCCTAAACTGTGGAAAGGGGCAGACGCAATCCCGTCCCAGTACCCACGACGCCGCCTCATCGGTTCGAATATACCCAGTTACCATCCAGGGATCTCGACATGGGCGTTAATCTCAGTGAGCAGACACAAGGGTTGGGACAGACGGGTTGCTCCTCGAGAGTGAAGACTCTCGATCCTGCCGCCTTTCAAAACAGCCTGGCCGCATCCTGGCCCCGCGGCGGGAACCGCCATTGGAGCAATAATCTCGAAAGGGGTCGACGTTGTGGGGATGCCGTTGTTATGTCTATATTGCGGGATGTGTGCCTTGCAGCTCGGCAGACCGGGTGACGCGCCCATTTTGGGTTGGCCGTTGGAGTCGTTGGCCTGCGGTCCTTTCGCCTTCTGTGGCTGCCCTCGATTTTTCCTGGGACTGCGCCGTCCGAACTTGATCCCCAAAGCCCCAAGCTTAATTTAACCCCTTGACGGGCCACCTGGTGGTTTGCTCAACCGAGCCAACCACCAACGTTGACCCCGGCTCGCATCACGGGTTGCTCGTCCGAACCTGAAACACAAACCGCATGTACCCCTGGCGCTACTGAGTCTGATAGATAAGGTCAGCAAAAAGGTGATGTTAGAGGCGACTGAAGGCGAAAGCGAGACTGAAGAGCTTGATGTTTGATTTGTATGTTGGGCGGAACTCGAAGCTTAAGTTAAGCTGATAGTTGGCAGACAATGTATTTTCCTTGGCTGTCGTCCAGAAGCGCAAACCTTAGAACCCATCTCCAGAGATCTTCCCGTCGAACTTTGCGTCTTCTGAGGTTCTCCACCGACTAACAGTTTTCGGTCGACATCCAAGAGCTTGAATGATTCCGATTGGCTCCGTCCGCCCAGTGATCGTCCCTGACGACAGGGATGCGCAGAGTCCAGCGCTCGATGAATTGTGTCACCCAAAGTGGCCCAATTCAGGGCCCCTTGCTGGGAATCTGGGAATCACCAGTCAACCAGTGCAAGCCGGAGCCGCTGGGGTACACGTGCGTTACGAGTAAAGGAGGTCGAAGACTGTCGAGGCCAACGAGGATCGATTCGCAGCCACTGCTTGACTCATTATGCCTGTTCAGTGTTGTGGCTTCTCTTCCCAATTGAAGCGGCGACTGACCGCATTGAGGGGTAGCCCTCGGGCAACTTGACCTATTCTTGCTGCTTGCAGCTTTTCTCGTCCGAACATCTCGCGAATGTTCGTCAGTTGTCGAACGGTGGGAGTTGCTGAGGGACGCCTCGGCTCTTCTCAAGATATGTGGAGAGTGGGAAGCATCATTTCCGGGTGAAACGAGCCTAGATCTTGGGCGACTAATTTTTTCTCTCTCTTTCGTTTATCCACGATTGCCACGAGACTGCTGTTGGTGCATTTCTGACCGCTGCGCGGTTAATCACTTTGAAACCCGACTCACATCCATTCCGCGCCTGCGCATGGATCATGGACGCAGCGAGGGACGGCTCAAGATGAACACCAAGACGTTGGGCGGTTGATGCCGCAGTGAAAAAGGAATAAGACCAATTATTATGCCTATGCACGCGCGCGCGGGAACAGCGACTGGCCGCACATACGTACGTCATCAGCAGATGTTGACTCTCTGAAGGGACTTCCTCTGCCGCCGGCCTGCAGTCCTGAAGCGATTTCCCAGGCAAGGGAGCGGAGATCAAAGACGGAGATTGGATGGGTTGGCGCTGCGAGGTTCAGTTGAGGGTCCAGGTGGAAGTGATCCCATCGATGGGATTGGGAAACTAGCCCTGCTTCCCAATATTTCCCCTTGTTATTGGAAGGCAATAGTGTCGATTTGGACTTCCACTCATGACCATGAACCCGAGGTCTTGGTATGCGTTAAGAACCTGCACTCTTATTTGGGAGTGTCGGCACGATAATCCGAAAGAACCATGGCGGAACACACAGCGAACAAATAAGCTTGATGCCAGTAGTTTAGCTTGTAATTCTAAGCTCTTCTGGACGAGACACGCTGGCCCACTTGGCGCGAGAAAACTTCTGGAACCGGCGGGCTCGTCTCCTGTCGTTGATAAAGGCTTCTTCGCCCACTATCCGTTATCCACATCCAACTTCTTGCCTCATGCCAAATTTCTTCGTCCAGCTTCGCCTCGTCTGTCGGCTTTGCCATTGAATTCTCCCTGTCCCTGCTGACGGGAACTCTCGATCGAAAAGCTTGGCTTGTAATTTATGATCGTGGTGAGATGTTTGCCAACGCACAACCGTGGAGCTTCGTGCTCCAATGAACGCACACGGGGAAGCTTGACCTCTGTGCGTTTCAGGGCAGTCGTCCCTCTAATCAACTGTTTTGGTGAAGGCATCATCCTCGGTGAAAGAATCGTCTCTGCATGTCATGGTGCCGCCTAATATTCGAAAGTGTGCGGCTTGATAGCATGTCGAGGAAAGAAAAGGATCGTCCACGATGATGCCTCAGCAAATTTCATAACGGCGCGTTGCGGATTGCCCAGATCCCATCCAGGCACTCACGTCGCAGCGCTGATAACCCTGAAATGAATCTACGTTCCCGAGCTTGGCTTATCGCTGGTCGGTGACGGTCATGACTTGAGGCAATGGGGCCGGGGCGTTGCGCATCTCGACTGCAACTCGGGTGTCATGGATACGCCTGTCGAACATCTTGAACTCGAAGACGCCCTCAAGCTCGCGTCGGATGGTAGCCAAATGCTCGTGTGCCTTAAGGATCTCGTCGGGCTTGTTGTCCTGGTGAACGTGGACCTTGATGAGGAACATCCAGCGGCGGCCAGGATCAGCCGGAGAGAACGTCTCCCATGGCGCGAGGTGAGTGAGGGGGGCGCCTTCTCCGTTCATCTGGAGGATGTAGTGTCTGGAAAGACAGAACTCGACTTCATCCCTGAAGAACTGATACGTCTCCTCGATAGCCTCGCTCTTGAACCTGCGCCATCATCAGTAAAAGACACGGCCGGTAAGAGAAGGACACGCACTGATAGTTGTTGTCCTTCATCACAGAAAGCAGGTTCCGCTGGTCCCAGATTTCGTTCTTCTTCCGTTGCGTGACCGAAGACCGGCCTTGAGGGGGATCGGGGAAGTCAGTCCAACGGAGGATGCCGGGGCGAGTGTTGAAGTCGGTCTCTGGGGAGGTCGGGCCGAAGTCCTTGTCCTTGAACACCTCGTAGCGGGCCTGGAGAATGTAGGACTGGCGACTGAGTTGTTGATGCAGGTCCTTCCACAACATTTGGACGTCTTTCCTCGGAGTCTTCACGATCGAGTTCTGGTTCGAGATGCCGCCGGGCTTAGCAGGGCCCTTGAAGTAGAGAACACGATTGAGACTCTGCCACGCGGGCATGGCACAGAGGCCGCCCAGGACGGAGCAAGCCGCTTGAATGTCATCGTCGTCGACGAGCGTCGTTAGGAAAAGCTCGTACATGGCGACACTGGTGAGTTGAGTTGCCCCAACCGCACAAGGAAGGAGCTCAAAATGGTGAACTTCGGTGAGATGAATCGAGGATCCGGCAAAATCGCGGGGAATCTAGACCCACTTTGCGAGGTCACGTGCATATGAGGCCTGTGCCTGAAAAGGTACGTCACTGCGTCTCCTCGAGACGCGCCGTCCGTCGCGGTGCTTCTCAGAGCTGCTGCCCCACCAAAGGTCGCAGCGTTCCCAAAGCTCCCGACATCGACATGCGATTGTCGCTCGTTCTCGTCACAAACTTGCCATCGACTCTCTTAATCGGACGCCGATCGATACATACAACCCTGAGGATGTCGTCGTCGAACTCTTCAGCCACCAAGCGCAAGCAAAGAGATTCAATCTCCCCTCCGCCGCTCAAACGGAAAGTTCAGAGCGGCACTACCAGTAAGCCATACCTCTGAATGCTTGCACCGATTCATGCTGACCACCTCCCAAGAAAACGCACTTGCGAACTTCTTCAAGCCGGCCTCCCAGAAGCCCAAGGACCGCACAACATGGACGGAACGCTCGCCGAATGAGGATACCCCAGCGACGCTTCTAGTCGGCCGTTACAAACCGGAGAGCGCCCCTTCCGAATCGGAAAAGCGTATCAAAGTCGCCGCGTTCGACCTGGTATGGCAGACGTGAACTGTTTTGGTTGTTATATCATAACGTTATTGACGGCTGCGACCCAGGACTCCACCTTGATCACGACAGCCTCCGGGAAGAAGCACGCAGACGACGGCACAGACTGGAAGTGGTGGCATACCTCTGTCCCCGGACGGCTGAGGGAGCTGTACAATAACGAAGGGTACGGTTGCATTGCGCTCCATGTTGCAGACTCAATGGCTGACATTGTTCAGGTACCGAGTCGTGATTTTGTCGAATCAGGCAGGACTCGTGTTGCACCCAGAGCCCAAATCCAAAGGACCAAAGAATCTGACCAAAGACCGCGTATCTGCATTCAAGCAAAAGGTCAATGCGGTCTTGACACAGCTTAACATCCCGACAACCGTATATGCCGCGACCGAAAAGGACATCTACAGGAAACCTCGCCCAGGGATGTGGAAAGAACTTTGCGAGGACTATGACCTAGTCGGCGACGTAGACCTGCAACATAGCGTCTTCGTCGGAGATGCAGGAGGCCGGACAGCAACTGTCAAGTCTGCAGGCAAGAACACCGCAGGGACGGCGAAGGATTTCAGCTGTTCCGACCGAAACCTGGCCCACAACATTGGCATCGACTACAAGACACCAGAGGAGTTCTTTTTGGGCGAACAACCGCGAGACTTTGTTCGAGAATTTGACGTGGTCCACTATCCCTATCCCGAAGAATCGAAGGACTCGTCGACAGATGTTCTGTTCGAAAAGAAGAACAAGCAGGACATTGTCATCTGCTGCGGACCACCGGGTTCGGGCAAGAGTACTTTCTTCTGGAAACACCTGAAGCCTCTGGGATATGAAAGGATAAACCAAGACACCTTGAAGACGTTAGTCAAACTCCTAGCTGGCATATCAGAGCTTTATTGACTAACTGTTACCAGTCGAGACAAATGTGTCCAGGCAGCGAAGGAACTACTGAGCGCTGGCCAATCCGTGGCGATCGGTTAGTAACAGATGCTCGCGCGCAAGTATTGCTTTGCTGACAACCTCTAGACAACACCAATGCCGACCCCGATACCAGAGCTGTTTGGATTAAGCTGGCTGAAAAGCAAGAGGTGCCAATCAGATGCGTCTGGCTGAAGACGCCTCTGATTGTATGCGAACATAACGACGCAGTTCGCGCCATGAATGCATCTGTAAGTCTTCCTGGCCCAGCATAACTCCAGGACAAAGCTCACCCCACATCAGCTTAATCCCGAATCCAGAGTGGCCCTACCTAAGATGGCTTTCAATGGATTCAAGTCGCGATTCAAAGAGCCAAAGATCAAAGAAGGATTCCACGACATCACCGAGGTCGAGTTTGCTTTCAGCGGCACCAAGGAAGAGCATGGCGTGTGGGCCAAGTATTGGCTTTGACCGGCTTCGTTGCTTCATATCTAGAAGTACTCAGTTGGGAGGCTATGTACCGTCCTGACGCCCAATTGACTTCTGCTCTAGCCTGTAACGATCATAGATGGAACGTGTATGAACTCCAATTCGGCAGATGGAAAGCCGACTCCGGAGCATAAGGCAAGCTGAGGAAACACTCCACGACGATGTACACCCTGGCGAGGAGATAGGCAGCGACAACAGTCACAACCATCACGAACGGGAACGCGAAGAAAATCGAGCAAGCTGCCGCGCAGATTGTAACAACGAAATGGCGTATCCCGGGTGACAAAAGCGCCCGCCGCTCCGTTCCCTTGATCTGCGTCATTGTCCAGCATACCGCAAACGTCGGCGCGTACATCAGACCGACTGCGACAACGATGAGGAGACACGTTGTGAGGATGACGGCAAAGTACGGCAAACCGATAACCATGTACGACCACGGCACCGTGATCATGATACTGGCAAGCCGCCACAGCATCACCTCGGCATGCGTGTGCATTGGTCCATTCCAACCTAGTATCAGATGCACCCCGCCGTAGAGGGAGCTCGTGATGAAGAATCCGCACAGCGAGATCCAAGGAGAAGCCAGCAAGATCCGCGCGGCCTGTGATGGAGTCATGTACGCGGGGGCTGAAGACGCGCTCGGTGCGTTGTCTTGGTTAGTGGTGGCAGATTCGCCATGTGTGAAATGAATGGTGGAAAAGATTGGGGTCGACGAGAACGGCTCTACCTCTCGCATGCTCGTCGACATCTGGACGAGTAACTCGGTCGAAAGATCAGGAGCCTTGGGCGCGAGCATGTTGGACAGAGAGGAAACGCGGCTGGCTAGCGAGGGGTATTTCTCCATGCCGCGGAGGCCTAGATGGAACCGGTGGATGTCCTCGCGCGGGATGATGACTGCTGTCTCCTCGAGCTGCACATCGGCGTCACCAATGCCAGATTGTAATCCATCCGACCTCCCCGCTGTGTCGCTCCATAGTTCAGAGAGCCCCCCATACGTCCACACTCTCTCAAAATCGACCCCTAATCTTGACCAGATCGTCGCCAACATCTGCGGAATAGGCGCAGGATCCAGCATGCCTTTCAATCTGCGATATTGTACCTTATTCTTCTGCGGGATTTCAGCAACATCCAAATCAGGAGGTGGACTCCCAGTGGTGATAGCGGCGATGATAGCTTTCGCAGTGCGGTCGTGGAAGCTTTCTGGAGGCTCCTCTTCTGACTGTGAAGACCTCGCCATAGCTGCTTGAAGAGCTGGCTCCTCAAGCTCATCCAAGTCTACCTCTCCAGAGTGAAGCCCATGCGCTTTGAACAAAGCCAAAGCCGACAATACTCTGTCATCAGTCGAGCGGCCCACGTCATCGTTCTCAGCCCAATCCACCCACCAGGGCTGCAGCGGAGCCTTCCCGCATTCGCTGACCAGGCTCAGCGCAGCAAACACTTGAGCCTGACGCTCGCCGTCCACCACGATAACCGTCGGCTCCGTGACGTCCAGCGGCTTGTGTATCCAGAAGACGAAGTACACCAAGAGGGCGTAGACCACGTGGAGCAAGGTGTTGAGCTCCAGCATCGTGACGTTCCACCCCTCTCCGAGCCTCGAGGCGAACTGCGCGACGTACCACACGGCCTGCCAGTATGCGATGAGCTTGGCCACGCCCTCCGACTTGCTCTTGTCCCGGATGGAGCTCTCTGGGATGTCGGGTATCAGATCGGGTTCGTGCTCTGCTAGGAAGAGGAGGGCGCGCGGGAGTAAGGTCAGTCGTTGTCTGCCTTGGGGCAGTGGACAGACGCTCTGGTTTCCGCCGTTGTCGATCACGAAACCTCCCATGATGGCGTAGAAGCTGTGGGTCGATGTCCAGCGGTGCTTCCGCCGGTGGTCGTCGTCTTGCTCTTCGGATGGACAGTCTGGTGAGCGATCTGGCGCGGTCAGGCTGGGCTCTTTCTCGCCAGGAGACCCTGATCCGTCATCGACATCGTCTCCAGACGCCCCCTTTGATTTGGGGAAAGACCATAGGCGCTTCCACCACCTTCTCTTCTTAACAAGCGGAGGACTGAGATCTGCCAGGTGCTTCTCCATACCGGCTGATAGCCGTTTGCATTCTCGCCATTGTTCCAAGGCTATGAAGCATATCTGCCGCGAGACAGAGATTAGCAAGTACAATCCAGAGAAAATTGAGAGTATTCAGACTTGCAAACTCGGGCGCGAATAGGCCCAGGATAGCCCACAGGATCTTGCGCCAGGGAACTGCGGGCTTGCGACCGTGCTCCGGAATGTTGAGATGCAAGGCCGTCCAGACGCAGAGACCGATGGTGGTGAGGCACGAAGAGAGGATGCTCCAGGAGCCGCGCTCTTTCGGTTCGGGCTGCCAGCTCGCGACTTCGCTGGCTACTCCGAGGGGCTGCCACATGATGAGTATGAAGAAGTCGTCTGCTGCCGCATGAAGCTCTCGCTACGAATTATCCAGACATTTGCCGTTATCTAACAGTTTATGGAAGCAAAGAGTCGAGGTAGTGTTGTGGTCTCAGGGTCTCAGCCTGGTCTCTTCTCATCCCTGTATGGTTGCCTGCAGTCTACAGCTCCCTCCGACATCGCCAAGAGAGTAAGCGGATGGGCGGCACAAGCGAATCGCTCCCATGTCAAGGGTTCGTTCCGAGGGAGTTGGCCAGGTTCTTCATTGGCTTATACTACTCCACCGGCTCAGCCTGATTTTGAAAGACTGCCTATCTCAGCGCCCGAAAGTCGAGACTTGAAGTTAGAGATAGATGCTATAGAGCCTGGTTATTCTTCTTCTACTCTTCATGACCAATATTGTGGTTTTGGCGCTGGACCGACCACGGGGATGAAGTGGTATGGTGGTCCTGAGTAGAGCTCCTCCGCGACGAGTTATCCCATGACAGCTGTTGTTTAATACTTCACATTCGCAATATTTTACACATAAGAGAGCAGGATTCTCTCAAATATTGGGCTTTCTTAAGAGCTTACACTAAGTATATAATCTCGACTTTTCTGCCCTTGCAGATAAATCATAACTGACTGGTTGCTTTCCGTGACACACTTGCCAGCACAATTTTCTTTGACAATGATGGATATAATGTAGCATTACATATAAGACAGAAGAAAATCCAGTTGAGAAATCTCCCTCATACATATATCCAAAGAGTATCTTTACCTAATTCTACGATGGCGCAGAAGACAACCGCGAGTCGTCACATAACAGGAAATTATTCCAGTTACGGACTAAAACAACGCCTCTTGTGTTCCGCGGTGCTGTGGCACAGACGGGTCAGCGCTCGCTTCGTGCCGACGGAACGGCATCACCGGCATAGACGCAGATCTTCCCGTCCCCTCCTTCGTACATACTAGAGCCTAACTTGTACTCTTGACTACTTGAAGGGCCACATGCAAGATCATACGACTTTCGACAATACGCTTAACATACTGCCCTTTTTGGTCTCAGCTGTCTATAGTTCCGCTGTTCTGAATGAGGAAAGAGAACAGGAACTGCCTTCCTCGCTTGCGTACCCCGCTCAGAAAGCGAGAATCCTTCCGCCCGACTGGAGTTGCCCCAAGATCTTGGTTTCACGTGGCTCTCGTATGAGAATTGATCTTCTGCCTGTGATCTGGCTGTAGCGAATTATAAAGGTTGATTTTGCTGGATTCTACGGAGGCAAGATGCCCCTGGACTCAACAGCATATTTTCGCGATAATCTATTGTAGTTGGCTAGCCGCTCTTCAACTCAACGAATATAAATGTTGCTTGACTAACTGTACAACACTTGAGAGACATCGTAAAAGAACACAACATAGAGCGTGGGAAACTTGTTGTTGTTGATTCGGCTAGTCGAGATACTAATATGATAAGAAGAGATACGTTATGGTACAGCGACGTCTAGATTGAGACATTGCTCGCTGGACAGAAGGTTGTCTATCTCAGCGTCATTTGGAATATCCACCTAATAAAGACAAGCATATGTTTCAGACAATCTCGAAGGAAAAGGTTCAATGCTAAGCCAACGTAGAAATGTTGCCATACTAGGCATAAGATATGCGACAATGGATGTCTCATGCATACTAGGTACGAAGGTCTCGCCACCCACACGACCTGCCTCACCTGCGAATCATCGGATATACAGCCCGACGTACGACTGTAAAGGCACAGTGTCCAGTAGTGATGCTGCATACGACAACCCTCCTAGACTCATTTCACGGAACATCGGGATCGTTATCCTACGCCACCAAAAGACCACAGCCCCTCGAGTTCGACAAGACCCGAAAAAGTATAAGAAGACAGACAATCTCTAGCTCTGAGAGAACATTCACAGGAACCTAAAGCAACATCACCCTCCAGCATCATATTCTCATAAACATATCCCAAAGGCAAGCAAACAATCATCGCTCAGTGAGACGACCACAAAGTTAACGAGCCGCAGCTGTCCCTTCCTTAACGACCACAATGAAGATCGCCGCCGTAATCACACTTTTCGCCATGGCCGCCTCTGCCGCTCCCGTCGCGGACACGGGTGCCGTCGAGGCCCGCGCCCCTGATGGCCAGGAGCTTGATGCCCGTCAGTGGTCTTGCCCCCCTGGCTGCAGCGACGGTAGAAGGCTGTGCTGCGGCATCATGGGTGTCTGCAACTGGCAGCCTTGCTGAGTAGACCTTGACAGAGATACATGAACGTGGTGGACATCGCCGACTGAGGGGCTCGGGAATGCGACCTGTCTGTAGAACCTTCCAAAATGACGAACACAAATAGTTTCAGGGTTCCAAGATAAAGCTATTCTATATCATCATGAAATGATGTGTAGGCTATTACGATGGAAAACAGTCTTCTGTTGTGCCATGTCCCCAAAGCAGCTTCTTGGTCTATACTCTCGTTGGATAGACCGATACTAGCAAGCCTATTCAATCCTAAGTTCTCGAGCATTGATCTGCGTACCTACCTCATCAAAACTGTTCTTGATAAGCCTATGTTACTCTTGTTGTGCAACTTCGATGAGTACTTGATTTTCCAGAGCAGAAGACCCTTACCGAGCCGAGCTCACATAAGCCTCCGAATCGCGTTCCAGGTCTTCGTGACGGCCATGAGAACGACATATTACCCAGCATTTTGAGAGTTGGGGGACTAAGCATATCAATGGCAAAATTCTTCTCTTGTCTGCATTAGAGTTATGAGATCTAAGGGGTAGATGATTGAAGAACAAAACTGTCCACTTCGCACGTCACCCTTTTGGTTCGTAAAACTGTGGAATGATCTGTATCGGAGAAAGGTATAAATATCCGCCTCATCGTGCATATTCCAGCCTTTAAATCTTTCTCCTTTACATCAACATTTCGAAGTCACTCACCACCCGCTGTTCTCGACCTCATCCCTCCCACCCTATACCATACAATACCCTACTCTACGCATAACCAACCAAACCACCAACACAAAATGCGCCTCTCTCACATCTTCGCCGTCCTGGCCTCCGCGGCCTCTCTGAAGACCGCGGCCGCCTACAAGAAGGACAACGTCTGCGCGCAGTGCATCGACAGATGCCCTGTCCCGAACTACCGCCCGTACATGTGGACCAACGTCTGCTCTTGGTGTATCAACTCCATCCCTTGCAGGCAACTTTACCACGACCATGTACGATCATCCTTTCTCCGTTTCCCTTGTAGAATACCATGCTGACGTGCGACAAAATAGGGCCTTCTCCCACCGGAATGGATGCCGGGAGGTGGAGTCCACCCGGCTCAGAGGGACTCGTACCAGCCCAGGTCCGGCCTCAAGCCGATCGATGGATCGTATCCCGACATTGAGATTGAGGAGGATGCGCCGCCGACAAATTCGACTGCCTGATTGGATTTCCAAACATGGTCTACGTGTTCATGTCCACCTGCCGCATCTTCGATTCCGGCGAGTTCAGTATCGAGAGTTTTGAGATGAGAGCTTTCGCTTTCCGGCCGCCGTGTATCACGACTTGGATCAGATGGTATAAACCTCTTTAGCGGTCTAGCGTATCGAGTTTGCGAGGATGTACATGATGTTAAATCTGTTCTCGAGCGAGTTTCTTTGTAGATTGGTATTAGCGTAAAGGTTCGATCTATGACGCAGTCAGAACCTAGTAAATCAAAGTATTGTGCCTAAGATGAACCGCTTGGCTTCGGCTTAACAGAAGCAATATTATTTCCATCAAGTGATACGGCAAAACGCGACAATATATACGCTTTCATATCATGTGAGTCATGCAGCATCGTATCAGTCATCCAAAGGTCATCACCACTCGGTTCAGCCCATCCTCAGCTTAAACCTTGTATAATTTGTACTTGGAAAGTACGGGATTCGAAGACCTTTCGCCACAAGTGTCTCAATGTTTTGTCCAGTACCCGTCGAGTCTCACGAAACAGACGGTCTGGTGTCTCGAGGTGCAAGCTTCAGCACCTTTGTGGCTCTTGAGATCGACGCTCATTGGTAGGTGCACGCCTGTAGTTTTCCCTTGCCCCAGTTCTCAGAGTTCTCCCAACCAAGTTCAGTCTCTTATGGTACACAACTTGAACATCTGCATTACTGTCTGGCTGGATCACAGAACCCATTGCTGACTGGTTTCATGAGAAAGAAGCCTCTTAGAGAGCTACACCCTCAAAGACCTTGTCGAATTACTGGCAGCTACCGTGAAGCGAGGAATATTAAAGTCGCAGGCGGTCGTACGGATTATTCAGGCCCATCTCGAGGGCAGTGTGGTCATCTCTTCTTGAAATAAGACTCATGATGTGTGTTTCGGCGACGTTCTTCGGATAGTCCATGGTCGTCTCGTTCTCGTGTCGGGCTTCAGTCCAGGAATGCAGGTGATGCGGTCGAGTATCATGATGCTAAGAGTTGCAGTTGTTCGTAAATATCGTCATTGTCATCGTGGATCGTCATCGCGAAGTCGTCGTGAGTTGTCTTTCGTTGCGGAGGCTGGTGCCAAGTCTTCCCCAAAGCTCAACGCAAATTCTGGGAGGAGCGGCAGCTTTATGTATTTTAAATTCTGGAGACTGTCCAGGATTGATGAGCAGACTTGGCTCCGTGGTTGACGCGTCCTGCCATCTTGGCTCGGTTGCGTGTGCCGTGATAGCCGTCTGTGCCGTGGCTCCGTCCGCGGTGCCGTTCTTGCCGCCGGTAAACGTCTTAGCATTAGAGTTTGTGGATAGCACCGATCAACACGGTGGAGGCGTTCGAGATGACATGCATGCATGTCAAAGATCCGATGAGTTTATTTCGACGTTTTGCGGGGAAACGATTTTGGTGTTTTGTTGGAAGATCGTGATTGTCGCTTGGCCGATTTTTGTAAGTATCATTGGCATCGCCACCACCTTGAGAGGGCCCACTTCCGCATCGCCAGCATCATGTACTGGGAGTTTTGTCAGAAAAATTCATAAAGTACTTTTTGTATGTAGTTTTCATTACACGGTTTGGAAATGGTACCCAGCTCTAAAAGAGCTTTTCTTGATCTGGGTTTTCGCCGTAGACTCATACGCCGGGCAATAGCCACAAACAAGCCACGATATAAGGGTACTCTAGCCAGCACCGGGTCTCAAATATTTATGTCAAATCTGAAAGAGCTTTGCAGCGGTTGACCAGTGCGTGGTTTTAACTACATAGGCATGGCGAATAGATTAGAGCAGAGAGAGCCAGTCCCTGACATCTTGAGCAGCTAGTGTTGGTTTATTCACTTGAGGATGGCATGATGATCACTTAGGAGCAATTGGCACGGTTGTTTTTCTCAAATCATGAGGATTATATTCGATAAATACACTGACCCCATGTTCATATGTACACTGAATGGCCAAGTGGCCCAGTGATGCGCATCAGCTTACACACCACAGAATGGAAAAGTGTGTTTCGTTGTCTTCCTTCCTCCGTTCTGTAACCAAAAAACGAAGTTCACTCGATGTCTCACAGAGACGGAGCAGCGGCCCGCGAGAGCAAGCTCCCACGAGACCGCAGAGACCCAAGGCGGGAGACGACTTAGGCGGAGCGAGCCGCTTAGCAAGCCTTGAGGGTAGAGTACTTGCAGGCGGAGCTGGGGCCGGTGCCGATCTTCTTGGGCTCGTTGCCGGGGGTGGTGCCCTGGAACTCGGTGCAGATCTCCTTGACGGAGGTGGCGCAGGTGCCGGTGATGGTGGAGGTGTCACCCTTGTTGGAGTTGATGCCGGTGAGCATCTTGCCGTTGTAGGCCTTGACGTTCTTGACGACGACGGAGCGCTTGCCCATGGTCTTGCAGTTGCCGCAAGAGCGGTAGAGCTTGCCGAAGTCGACGACGGTGAAGCCGTCGATGGTGACAGTGCCGAGACCGTTGTGCTGGATGACCTTGTCCTCAGCGCCGCGGGCACCACTAGATGTGATTGTTAGCCATTGTTGGTGTGTAGAAGTGAGTAGAGAAGAACTTACCCGCCAATGACGGAGGCGTTGCCGTCACCCTTCAGGGAGAGAGCATCCTCGCAGACAGCAGTCCACCAGACGTTGTTGATGGTGCAGGAGCCCTTGCAGTGGACACCCTCGATCTGGTCGGCACCGATGATGGCGTTCTTGAGGGTAGCGCCGTTCTCGAGGAGGAAGACGGCGTCCTTGTCGCCACCCTCGGCCTGACCAGTGCACTTGACGCCACGGCCGTAGGTCTTCATGCCACCGTCGAAGGTGCCCTTGACGCTCTGGGCGGCCTTGTAGGTGACGGTGCCCTTGGAGGCGGGGATGGGGAAGGAGGCGCGCTTCTCGATGGCGGCGGCGCCGTTGGGGCCGGTCTGGGTGCCGGGGGCGGCGATGGCAGCAGAGGCCGAGAGGGCAGCGATGACAGCGGAGAACTTCATTTTGACTGTGGTGGTTGGTTTAAGAAAACACGTAGAGTTGGAAGAGTTGGATGTGTTGTAACAACGAATGAATAACCACCAGGGTTAAAGAATGTGAGTAGTTGGATTGGTAAAAGAGAGACGGTTGCGGGAGATGCTGATGAGAGGATGAGGAGGAAAGAAAGAGAGGCTGATGGACGGGAACTTGATGTCTTCTTATATCCAAATCTTCCTCACGAGATGATGCCCCCAATCTGCTGCCCACACCACCATCTGCAAGCAGTGATCCTGATTCTGGATCCCCATCCCTGGCCCAAGGCTCTTCGTGTGGGACCTGGATGTTGGGCCAGCTCACAGACAACAAGCTTTCGCCCAGGGCTAGGATCAATGAGGACCATCCAGAACGACAAGTCCACAGTCTGGCCCACGATGGAGTGAGATTGAGTGCAATGTGGTCTGCGCCGCTGCAAGTGAAGGTGCCAGGCCTCATATTGAGCTTGACAAGGGCCAGGGGAGACAAAGTCACTGTCCGTTCCTTTCCCGCCACACGCAGAAGGTGAGCGCGAGTGACTATCGATTCATTTCGGGCAGAGGCTTACTTCCCTGTCGATATGATCCACATTGATATCAGAGGATGTTCGGACGGGTTCGGCGAGCCGCACATTCAGCGCAGGAACAACCTGTTTGGCTGTGATCAAAGGGGCAGCGTTTCTGCCCGAACAGGACATGTCATGGGGGAGGCGGCAGAAGAACCACCACGGCATTGGATCGCCAATATGCCCACCGGCCCAGGTGTCATTGGCCGTGATCGATTGGATCCACGAGCAAGTTGTCGGATATCCTGCCTTTGCTGCCCATCCAGAGTACCATTCGAGAGTCGCTTCGACTTTCGTATTTGTCTAAAAAGTGGTGCTTACTGCTTTCTCGACCATGAAACACTCCAGGGGCTGTCACAGGGGTTGCGGACAGGGCAAAAAAGAATTAACCCATGTCGAAGATGAGTGGGGAGTCGTCTTTTTGGGAAGTTGGCCTCTGAGGTCACATTGCCAGCCGCTGGTGGTGGTGGTGGTGGTGGTGGTGAGCAGAAAAATGAAGAAAAAAAGATTAGAGGAAGCGGGAAAGGTTGTCCATGTTGGCGATTGTTTCCGACTGCGCTAGCGCGCGGGAAGTGCTCCCATTCGCCGCCACCCATGTTTCGGTTGTATATCAAAGGAGATGAACTGGGGCTCATGGAACCAACTTCCATTTAGATAAGACCCGTTACCACGGTCCTGAGTAATTCCCGACCTCACGGAAACGGTCAAGCGTTGGGGGATAACTTCGGCATTGTGTACCTTGGTGGCGCTTTCTGGCTGGCAGATTGACATTATTCGCCGAAGCAGCAGACAGAAAACGGGCTTTGGGGACCGTTGTTGTGTAACCCTGACCTTGAGACTTTGAGCTTTTCTCGAATAACCTTAGGAAGCTTTAGGGAATTCGTCGACGAAGGCTCCGGTGGAGTAACGCGCTTTCTCAACCGACTCTTCTATTGCCCGGGACCAGGGATCTTGACTTGACGAACTCTTAAGATGTGGCAAGCCTGATATTGCCTGTTGGCGGCAGAGGCACATCATCCTCACATCACTGACCACTTAGCGCAACGGCGCAATTGACTTCCCGTAACTTTCACCGCACTGCCCGCTGACTGAGTTGTCGGCCCCTGTTCGAGCTTGTTGACCTTAATCGAAGTGTCCGGGGTATCGCTGACACCGATAGAGAACAGGCCAACCGGCGGTGCAAGGGTTGGCAGCTTGTCTCTGAGTCTGACACGCGCAGCAGATTGAACTCGATTCAACAGGCCACTCTAAAAATGCGAGATCCGTCACTGGTGGATCTTGTATTGAATCATTGGCGTTGCGGTTGTCTAAATTGCGCGGGACCCCGCCAGGCTCAATGCATGCCACGATAACCTTTGTAAGTCAAATGATCTCCAGTTTCTGCAATATATCACCAACTGATCCCGTCTGGAATGTGGGTGGATGCAACGGTAGTTGTATGTAAACTGCACGGGCGAGATGGATCATGGGGTTCTTGGTAAGACCAAAAATGGACATTCGCATGTTCCCTCGATGTCACCTATCTTTTGTCGGCCTTGGGGCCGACTTCTGTTACAGCGGAACAATCTGGAAAAGGAAGAAAAAGTAGAGTCTGTCTCCGTCGCTCCATTTCCCCTTGTGGCGGTGTGGTGAATCCAACGCGGGTACCGGGCAACAAGCATCAAGCGGAGATCGGATGCCATCACTCAATCATTAACAATAATCCATGGGGCCATAACACTTTGAACCCGGCAGCCTGGCAAGGGGTGGCTCACGACCAGAAGATCGCGTCCCCTTTTCCCACCAATGGCGCTTCCTCCATGCAGCTTGTTGATTCCCACGCACTTCTCCAGAAACGTGATGCCAAGACATTTAGAAAGGAGATGATGCCAAGACTGGACCTTTTGCCAAGACATTCCGTTGGAGTCCCATGATCGGCGCACTTTTGCACACGAAACCGAGCTTGCCGACCAATTGAGTGAGGGCCACGATACAGAGCGCATTTCCGAAGTTCTAACTTCACTTCAACGCGCAGCGTCGAAATGCAGTTTTTTCGAGCTTCACCGGCCTCCGGAACGCCGAATTCGAGATTCATCGGATGCCTCCGAATCCTCCGTGAGGCCTCCCGTCTGGAGCCACATCCGGCGAGAAAAAAGGGGCCCGAAAAGCCCGCTTACTGGGGTCCGAGTCGCCCGGCCGAGCCAGAACTGGCCAAAATGCCAACAGAGTGGGTAACCCTTCCTCCATGAAGCCCACTCCGAGATTGCGCCCCAAACACGGGAACAAGCATCGGTCAATACGCCAAGTGGACGCCGCATTTTGGACCAAACATTGGATTTCGGCCGCCAACGTGCTTCTTGCATGACAACAAACACCGCTGAGATCACATTGAGATCAACGAAGCCGCGGCGAGATAGCATATTTTTCCCGGCCTTATCTCTGCCAGCTTTGAAAACATCCACTCAGTCATGATGATGGTGAAGCAATCTCTATGCCGGAGACAGTTCGTCAACCGCACCAGACGGAATCCAGTAAAAGCTGGTTTCGTCTGTAAGGGCACTTCGTATAAGATCGAAGTCATCTCATGTTTAATCTATCTGTATTCTATGTCCTCAGGTGAACCAACCTAGCAGACCCCTGATTTACATTGTGAGGCAAGAGAGGACCAGCCTCCGCGCCCTAATTGCTACCCTACCCACGGCCGGCCAGATCTTATGCCCGGGGCCTTTGACTTAAGCATAGGGGTTTTATCGAGCGGTAAGAGCACCCAGCTGCACGGCTGCGTCGAACATATTGCCTTGCAGGTCATAGAACGCTGTGAAATGCCATCCGAGCGACCAAGTGATGGTGCCACTCTCTGGGAGGTCTGGGAAGGAGCCGACGGGATGATGATGATCTGAATCGTCGTTCGGACGGAGTGGTGGCAACCTTGCCACGGGACCCATAACCCGAGCCTCTCTCTCCATTGGACGGATAATCACCTCCGTTGGTATCTCGCATTTCTCACGATGGCACCGTTCCCTTGGGTTACCGTGATGGCGATGACATCGGCGCATGATCTTCAGGAACAGGTTTTCATTTTTTTTTGGCCGTGGAAAATTCTATCAGGTTCGTATAACCAAGATCTCAGCAAGATTGGATTCCTCGGCATCTATTTCTCCAGAAATGAGCAGTCATCGCTGCCTTCCTGAGGGACTATCAAAGGGGCTCGCGTGCCCCATGATGACAGGATGCCGTGGGCAGAAGTCTCGTTCGGAGATCGATCCCGCCAGCCTGAATTGGCCTACCGGATTATGTCCGGGACCCATCCTTGCCGTTCAAACATTCCATCTTGCGAAGATGTCCAGAAATAGCCTCTCCCATTTGCTTGGCCTTGCAAAAAACCATGAAGCCTTCACCGCATCCAAGCAGCGTTCCACCAACTCCGCGTGTGACAAAGTGAGCGAGCGATGCGCTCAGCCAAACAAACCTGCATATTCCCCTTATCTTCGTATAACCATGAAGTCAACAAGACAGAGCATAGCCGCCGAAAGTGTTACAGGAGTTGTGGTCTATCATCCGATGAATTTCGATAAAACCTGCGCCAAGCATCGCTCCCAAGACATCCACAACCAAAGGATCTCCACGATCGCACCCACCCGAGAACAAACACCCCCCGAGGGCACCGGGACCTGGCATCAAAAGTGGATGCAGCGAGAGGGCGCCTCGCCTCTGCCCAGCGGCTCTCCTGCATTTATTACCGGTGCATGACCACCGCCAACAAGGGCATCTGGGCGCCCCCATATTCTAATATATGCCTTGATTTCTTACAGGCCGTTTAGACGATAGCCTTCCATGGTAACATTGGCTGGAGCCCCGGGATTCAATTTTCGCTACGGAGCAAACCCGAGTCGGGTTTGTAGATGGACCGAGCTAGCCAGCGAGGCCTGCTTGGCTCTTTTGATGAACTGCATCCAGACCACCGGGGAGGCGGAAATATTCGCCCTGAACAGCTGGTGGCGTTCTCCTATTGACAATGAGGAGAGTTCCCGGAAGCCGAGAAGAGCGCTCCGTCTTGCCAGCTCATCCGCTTGTTCTTTCGGCCATCTGCCGCATTCCATCCACGTCGATGGAGCCAACTAAACTTGAATGAACTGCCGACATAGGACTCCCGATCATGGACTCGTGGTTCTGTTTGTGGCCACCGTGAGCTCTTTTACCGTACACCGCTTCATTTCATCTTGTAATTCTCTGTCTTGAGGTCAAGGGGCTGACCGCTTGTTTTGAAAATAACACATGTCCTCAACTCACGCTCACTTGATGTACCAATCGGTTATGGAATCTGATGAGCTCTGCACCTGATCAACCTTTACTTTCCATGACCACTTGCGCAGGTTGACTTATCCCACATAACCGGTGGTTGTGTTAACAATCAGATGGAGCCCCTCGTGGCTGTTGAATGATTACCATCAAGAGTCTTTGGGCACAGATGACTTTTCATAATCTGCTGCTGGATTCTTTGCAAAAGAATACGCAGATTTGAATGCCTCTGATGACATCAGTAGCCGAATGGCCATGCGAAATAGTCATCAGAGTGCTTTTGGGTGCTGGTTTGAAAGCGTCTTGGTCAAGACTCTCTACTCAAAACTACGCCTACGAGGGATAATTTCGCAGCCTGATTGTACTATCCTTATCAAAGGAAAGTTTGAGACATGAGACGGACCTGGCAGAATCGTCTCTTATGAGAACGTTGAAGCTAACCTCGAGAAACTGCCACCTTAGTGTCTGTTCGATACTTGGTAGTTCTTCCCCCATGTGTGCCTGTCAATGCTTCGCACAGCCACCTGCGTCTCAAATATTTCTGGCGTTGCACAGTTTCATGTTCTGTCTAAAGTATGTTGCGAAATGTTAAATCTAAGTTGAGATTGAGTTCAACACAACCTTGATATAATGAAGCTCGGTCGTATTAACAGAGCAAACGCCATGTGCCTCGATGTAAAGAAAACCGTGCTTCTGCTCCGAACCCTAGGTCCCTGCATTATGTCATATCGATATGACGTCTGGAACGTGCGGTGGTGTTTTGGGGATGTGATCGGTGACAGCGATTGTCTAAACTCTATTTGCGACCTGTCCACGATGTGGATGAACTCAACTGTTGGAAGGGCTCATACATATCCATGGGCTTGCAAACTCTCATGGTATGGAATGCTGGGCAAAAGCATCTATACGCCCTATGTGGAAAGTTATTCCTCGAGGTGTCGTATGACGTGGGATTTTGTTTTGCTTTCTTCAGGCGCGATATTGAGTTTTGCACGGTCTGTGGTTGATTCAGCTGAAAATTTCGTCTCAACACCAATAACTTCCTCGAAAGCCCGTGAACTGACGTGTCTACTACGTCAAATACGACGTGCGTGTTACAATTTCGCTGTCAACAATACCACGCCAACATGTATCACAGCCAACTTCATCAGGCCAACCAGACCCCGCGCCACCAGCTTCGATCTGATCATCCAGACGAACAACTTGAGACTGGCAGCTCTTCCTTCTCCTCCCTGCAACATGAAGGTACCGCGGCAGTGGAATCAAACGACGCTCAGGGCGTCACTCGACTCGATCGTCTTCCCACCGAGTTCATTGCGATGATCACCCAGGAGCTCATGCTATCGTCAACATTTCAAACAAGACACGACTTCATATCCTTCAGTGTATGCTGCAAGCGCCTACACTGTATCGTCGGAGCTCAAAAGAAAGCCGTATTCAGAGACTGGATGCGCATGCACTACACCGACGATCAGATCAAACGCGTAGCCCATCTTCTGGAATGCATCGAGCGACGGGATGCTCAAAACGAAATCCAAGCCATCCAAGATGACGGACTTTTTCCCCCACAGCGCGAGATGCCCCAACGTGACTGGGTCGACAAGATACTCACCAAGAAAAGCTGGCCGTGGCTATGGGGTCGTCTCACGTTCATGCCGAGTATGAGAGATGTTGTCGCGGCCCACGGCATCGAGCGGCAAGGCGAATATTTTCGATTCGAGGATCAAAGTCAACATCATGAAGAAGCTTGTGTTGGGACTCTCGAAGCCCCTTCCCATATGAGTTCAGGTATGTAGTCGATTTTTGCACCGTCTAAAAGGTCGCATTCATGTTTACGAATTCTATTCAGGTCTCGGAAAATGGGCGGAGTTGAGAGAAAACCACGGTATCATATTCGGGAGCAGAAGTCAGCTTCAGTCAATGCCCGGAGTCTCCGAAGTTCGTTCGCTGTTAGATGTTGTCATCTTCCACGCCCACATGTCTTGGGTGCTGAAATACGAAGACGCCCTCCGTACTCAGTCGCAGAATGCGCCTTGGCTTTCAGCTCAGACTGACGACACAGGGCGGACAAACGATACAGTGTTGCGGGAACAGCATCTAAAAGTGACGAACATCACCCGTCACGCGATACTCCAAAGTTTGAATTGGGAAACGATCAATGCCAGTCTCAGTGAGAGATTCGATCAATATGTTGAACGTACATTGGTTGAAGAGGGGCTCTTTCCTGGCAGACAATGGGACCCAGTGACGCGGACAGAAGTAGTCGTCAACTGGCCGAAGGATAAGTTGGAGTGGGAGACGTTCGTCTACAATTATGACCCTGTTGTTTCGCATATACTTATCTCGGACCTACTATTCGTGCGCAAATTCCTGAGCTGCAAAAAAGACGACAGGCCGAGTCTGATTCTATCCGAGAATCATGTCATCCATGACAGTTATCTAGAGCACGAACGGAAACGCATCATCAATATAGGTCGTGCTATGGTTGAGTCTGGAAAATGGACCCCCGTTCGAGTCTAGAGAAGCTAGCCATACATATAGCAGTGCCAGTCTGCAACAATATGGAGGATGAGTTGGCGTTTATGTTCAGCTTTACGTGATACTTCTCCTTGAGTTCCTAAAGTTGTCTACCTCCGCTCGCCGTGACGGTACGAGAGCCGCTTCCGTTGCGCCCCATCCAGCGGAGTCAACAGCTCCACCTCATCAAAGCCCTGATGGTCTAGCGGTATGATTCTCCCTTAGGGTTGTAGCAATACAATCATGTCTGGGAGAGGTCCCAGGTTCAATCCCTGGTTAGGGCCCACTTTGTTTTTGCCTCAGCTGTGTTCAGAAATATCCAATGCACAGACAACTTCTTTTTTATTGCGAATTTTGAAATTACTCAGCAGAAGAAGTCCTGGGCTACCTGTCTATGTGGGTGATAGATATGGCCCGTACTAAGAGATATCCTTCTGTACTATTACTCACATAGACTTACTTGATCTATTGGCCATTTTGCCACACTTAACGATAAGTCTTGCTGTCTCTGAGTTGGCTCCGTGCCCTCTCGGAATCTTTGCCGAATTGTCGCAGATCCTAGACCCACAATCGACACCGACCGGACGTGCGATTTAGTGGATCGACTGACCGAAAAACCGGGACGAAACTCGTGAGCCTCCGGAGGAATAGTTGACGCTTTGGCATTGAGAATCCTGTTGATGCGCTCGTTGCAACAATTGCCGATATTCAGCACGATGTAGGTCGACTACCCGAGACTCTGTTGAAGTGGTGCATGGCGTTTCAGGACGAGAAGTTTGGACGAGATGAAAATCGGCAGAATACGGGTTCCGGATGCCGTTCCCGCTCCTTATCCGTCATTTCCGTCGAGGAGCCTGAATCAGTGATCCTCGACGGCATTGTGCAGACCTACTCAGTTGTGTGGCTAAAGAGCTGCTGAATCTTTGGACAACGTGAAGCGCTTGGCATAACCTTGAACCGGAGATATCGATCTGATACGCCCATGGAAGATGACTGGTGTATCAGATCGCTCAGCCACAACTGAATGACAGCTGCTCAGGTGAATGATGTATAGTCGATCAAACATAAGGCTCATTCATCGAATTGAATGTGGCGATTCAAAGCACCAAATGAGTCTCTCATCAGTGAAGTAGTACAAGCAGGATTAAACTCGCTATTAATTTGCAAGTATGCTTGCCATCTCACGGAGACGGCTTGATCAAGTCCTCGATTCGACCACATCTAAGACACACGTTACTTCCCCTGGATGACACTTGGCAACTTTCGGCGGCAACCCAGCTCATCCGAACTTTCGAGGCCGGCAAGTGGAGTTTCGGGCTGGACTTTCTCTGTCTTCACATGCCCTCTCAACATCTGAACCTCAAGACAACATTGAAACATTACAACTGGGTAACGGTGAAACGAAACATGGTGAGGCAAACAACACTTCCCCGCTGACATGAGGCCTCCAGCGCTCAAGCACCATCCACCAGCAGTTTGGAAAGCAGACAATCAACGTCATAGTGGTTTCGCTCGTGTGGTCGGTGGATCTAGAGATCCACACAGGTCGATGGGGCAAATTGCACAAGCTCATCCCTAGAACAGCAGTTGAGTCAAGTATATCGGACGATAGAGAACGGCTCGGAAGGTGTTGTATGTGCAAAGACTGTAACACAACGTGATATGCTTTCAGGGGTATCAAGTCTAAAAACCTGCGAATTACACTGCACATGATAAGATTGTTGCTTGTCTTGCCCCTTAAATCCTTGAAAATGACCGAAACTCCGTGTCGCCCAACTCAAGGTCTCATCGAGGGGCCGTCAATGGTGTTTCGGGTGCCATTGATGGTGAACGTCGCACTCTTCGGTGTGTATGAATCTACCACAGTCGATTCATTCGATTGAATGGTCGTGATCCCGGTGCCCCCGGACTGGACAGATCTTCGCTCTTGTGAGATTGGCCGCAGCTCTTCAATATGAGACGACCGGTCCGTTTTACTAGACTTGGAGAGAGTCTGCCGTGTCAAGTCCATGAGCTTGGGGAAGAACTTGAAAGCGAGCTGTCTGGCAGCCGGCATGCAGGCGACGAAGATTCCCACGCACAGCTCGACGTAGGACCAGGTGATGCCCCATAGTGCATCGGCTGTAACTCGAATCAGCAACGGATCTTCATTCTTGAAACTCAGGCTCAGCTTCAGGAGATGACTTACCGGTGATGTTGAATGAGGTGGCAAAGACGAGCAAGCTTCTGATGCGAACGATGCTCACAATGGTGAGGCTTGGGGAGAGTTAGTTTACTGGATGTCTCAATGCTCTCATCTGTGTCGACCCGGGTATACCTACAACACACCGACACCAAACATAGCCATGACGCCGATCTTCTTCTTCCGCGGAAGATTAAGCTTGAAGACTTGCGTTGCTGGCAAGATAAGCATCCAGACATCCAAGGCGATGTTGAACGCAACGTGAGTGAGACCGATTTTGTTGAGGTCGGCGCACTTTCCCTCGTGCTCGCCGTCCCAGCCATTCCAGTAGTGCTGCAGGGGCTGACATTGCGCTAGACTGAGGATGATGTACGCAGCCCCGAGGAGAAAGTTGAACCCCTGTGTGCAGATAAGGACTGGTCTGAACGATTTGATGTTGAAAACCCGTAGATACAGGAACAGTATCGAGGCCTTGATCACCGCTAGATCAAGGATATAAAAGAGTTGGAGGACGAAAAGAAGCTGATGTTTGTCAGTCACGACTGTTCGGTTCAAGGGCGGATTCGTCACGGCCGCAAGGGAATGTCTTGACGCATGGGTGTTACCTTTAGAAACATTGTGATTTCATGTGGTTGCAGTGTCCATATGTCTCTTCCAAGTCCGTAACTCTCAATCACTATCGACAGTCAGCTCCCGGCGTTCTCAAGTATGTAACTGTGAAAAAGAGCTTACTGATTAACGCCAGTGGTAGGAATGGTATGAAACATATCTAGATCAAGTCAACACGAGAAGCAGGATAGGGAGCTCTGGGCGTCACGCACAAACGCCAACACGATGGCTGTATCCTCAGCGCCCCATGGCGAAAGACGAAGGCACCGTGCAGTCATCCGAATAGCCATAAAGACCACAGGCAAAATGAGCAGGAAAACGATCGTGTATCTAGCCGACATCGTGCGGTCGGTCAGAGGAAAGCCGCACGCAGCCCAAGTCAGGTTGGTAACCGCTACGGACATCACATCGAAGTCAGCTCTAATCCTCGAACAAGCCGTTATAGAGAATCTGCTTACTCAATGCTTCTGTGACCGTGCATTTCTGCTTTACGCAGTCTCCCACGAATCCGTTGAACGTTGGATTGGTGCATAAACATGTCGTGTTATCGATGGTACAAGGTGACTGGGGAAGAGCCTGGACGGCGCAGGTGACCTGGTGGCATCTCCAGTCAGCCAATCGTCAAACATAACGAGGAAACAGTTAGACAAACGGCGCATTGTGGTGCTGAAGCAAGAGCATCAGTGAAGGCAGACCCGGACGCCAGCCTCAGGAAACCTGCGAGCAGCAGTGAGACTACGGAAGCCTTCATCGTGCCTGTTGGAAGCCTTGCCGGTGGGATGGCACACGAAGCAAATGAAAATCAAGACAGATAGCAAAGTGGCAGATCATATCGCGATATTGCTGCAGCCGGGAACGTTGGCGATTATGAGCGGCGTGTTCTTGTGGACGAAACCAGCCAACGGGCCTGGCCACGTCTATGATGCAGCATGCCTTCGCCCCTCTTAACTGCCGCGAGGATCTAAGATAATCGCACCAGCGCCTGAACACAAGCCTCAAAGAGGCACAAGCACGCTGGGCCTAGAGTAGCGCGTCGCTACCACGACTAGTCCCGCAGCTGTCAAGTTTGGCGTGTGCCGTGGTTTGGGGACACCAGCAAGATCAGTCAGGACTCGAATCATCGTTTTGCCCTGGTATCTTGGAATCTCAAATTGTGGCTGAGACAAAAGTTGTTCCCGCAGAGGTTGAGGCGGCTCGAGGTCTCGCAGGTGAGGCGATGATTGGGTGCTATTGATCCGTGGCGCACCGGGGAACATGCTCCTGAATCACTAACCTCGTTGCAGCTGTTATGTGGCGCCTGGATTTGCTCAACGAGTAGGGGGAGATCTGCATGACATTGTGCTGCCGAGAAGCAAACTACCATCTCGCTTGCTGATCTGTTCATTGACGAAATTTTGTGTCTTTCCAGAGACGTGGGAATGGCTCAAGCCACCGGGCGTTCTCACCTTCATGCCATGTGACTTGGCGTAACGAGGAGACAAACGTCCCGTCTCTGGCAATGCGACCTTCTGTTTGGATCTGCAGTGCTGGCCTTTATCTTCTGGTCAGGACTCACTCAGAGTACTTTAACTCGGCCACATCATCCCGCTCCTTCCCGCAACTGTTGATATTATTCCTCGCCAAGGACTTTGCTGCATGCCTTGGCAAGTCGAAGGTGTGCCCATTTGTCGTGTCATAAAGACCGGACTGCGCTGTAGTATCCGTAGTCGAATGAAGTAAGCCGCATCCGGGATATCGGGATGAACGACGTTATCCGTAGAGTAGTCGTATCGTTGTCCCTGGCATTGGACACTGCCGCGTCGGTCTCGTATGCTGTCGATCTCTGCATTTCCTGCTTTCCATCTCACGGAAATGCGTTAGCAAGGTATCTTCTCCAGGTTTATAACAAGGGTATTGCATTACTTTCTTCCACGTCCCGGCTATCTTCTTTCGAATCTTTACCGACTGCCCGTTCTTGCCCGAACCTCCTTTTCCTCTTCCGCCTGCGGACCAACCCCGACTTACATCACCGACGGGGTTTCCCCGTGGGCAACTTACCCCTGCTGCGGGTCATCTCCGCGACCCCCACCATCCACGGGCGTTTCCCGCACCTCCATGTGTCATACGGGCATCCCCCGTCTGGCTCGAAAACTTGCGAAATGGCCGTCAGGCGTGATCGCCCTCCTTTTCGACCAAACTACGCTACGGGCTTTTCCCGCATGGTCTGCAAACTTGTGAGATGTTTTCCGTCAATACAAAATCTTGAAGTTGGTCACCCCTGTCAGGTTTCCATGCAGCATGTAAATCACAACCCTATTCGCTGTTTGAGGAAAGTGAGGCAGGTTTCTCACAGCAAAACACGATATATCGGACGGTATCACAATAGTGGCGTCTTCAAACATTGAATGAATTTGTTCTTTTGAATTCTTATCATTATTGTGGGCATATTGCATTCATTATATGCCCTTTTTGTTTCAATCATCAGATGCTACCGGCATCCATCCTGTTTACATGACAAGTACAGATTCTAAACCTCGTTTCTCTTCTCGGCGTGCACCGCGGCACCCTGCACTCCCTCGGCGGCCTCCTGCTTCTCGTTGTGCACAATGTCACGCGCCTCGGCATCCTCGTTGCCGTGAAGACCGATCCTGTACCAGGGAAGCTCGAACAGGTTGTTCATGGACTCGAGGCTGCGGCCGGCGGTCTCGGGAACGAAGAACCACACCCAGACGCCACCGATGAGGGTGATGGCGGCGAAGGACCAGAAGGTGCCCATGGGAGAGATGCCGCCGTGGTCGGTGGAGAGCAGCATGTTGGGGACGGCACGGCTGTTGCCGTACTGGTTGGCAAAGTGAAGCGTCATGGCCCAGGAGGTGGCGAGGGCGCGGACGCGGAGGGGGAACAGCTCGGCGGTCAGGAGGTACTGCATGGAGTTCCAGCCGAGAGCCCAGCCGAAGCCGGAGACGTAGATCATGGCGATGGCGCCGCGGCTGACGCCGATGAGGTGGTCGGGCAGCTGGAAGCTCTCGTCGACACCGAGGAGAGGGACGTGGGTGAGGAAGCCGGCGACGTAGAGCATGGCAATGGCCTGCAGGGTGATACCGGTAAGCAGAGCGCGCTTACGGCCGATAACATCGACGAGGAACAGAGCGCAGAGAATGGCGGCAGTGAGCTTGACGACACCGAAGACGGCGGTGATGAGAAGGGACTCGTTCTGGCCGGTGATACCGAGGATCTTGAACAGGTCAGGGGCGTAGAGAGTGATGCTGCCGGCTCCGGACCACTGGGAGAGGAACTGGACCATGGTGCTGAGGTAGAGACGGTACAGGTTGCTGGGGACGAGGAAGAGCTCCTTGACCTTGCCGTACCAGGTGGCGCCCTTGGAAGCCTCAAGCTCCTCGTGGTGAGCAGCCTGGATGGCGTAGATCTCGCGAGTGACGTACTCGTGGTCAACCGAGAGGTGACGGAGGTGAGCCATGGTCTCGGTGGCCTGCTCGATCTTGCCCTGCTTGACGAGGAAGCGGGGGGACTCGAACTGGAAGAAGGTCAAGATGAAGATGATGCCGGCGAACATGATGTGCAGCGAGGTGGGCACGAGCCAGCGGTTGTGGGTGTTGTCACCGAGGTGAATCTGGCAGCCGTAGTTGGTGAAGTAGGCCAGGACGATACCGAGATAGACGAAGCCGGTGAAGACGCAGGTGCACAGACCGCGGACGGAAGCCGGGGCGATCTCAGCGAGGTAGACGGGACCGACGACGGGAGTCTGACCGACACCGAGACCGGCGATGAAGCGGCCGGCGTAGACGGCGCCGAGGTGTCCGTTGTTGGCCATGAAGATGGCAATACCGATGATCCAAACGATGCAGAGCTGACGGGTAGCCCAGATACGACCGATCTTGTCGCAGATGACGAAAGCACTAATCCGTTCGTGTTAGTCGAGGCGTCGGAAGGAAGACCGAATGCGTTTAGATGCACTTACAAGAGAGCACCGGCGACGGAACCGAGCTGAACCATAGCAGAGACGTTGGCCTTGATGTTGGTCTGCTCGACCGCGCTGTATTGTTCGTAGTGGATGAAACGTTGGAAGTCCTTGGAGCCGAAGGCACCGGAGATGAGACCCTCATCGACACCACGGGCGGCGCCCATGAGGCCGAAGGAGACGACGGCGAACCATAGTCGCCAGTTGAAGACGCCCTTGGGCTCTCCAAGCTCGCCGAGCTTGAAGACGTTGATGGGTTTCTTGACACCGCCTCCAGCCATTTTGGAAGCTGTTTTTTTTTCTCTGTGCTCGCGCGAGAAGATTCGATGGCGGGCTGGTGATGAAGAGGACAAGAAGGGGGGGCGGGAGGTTGAGATGAACACGACGGTTGAAGAACAAGAAGCCCGTTGAAAGGGCGTGAGAGGGTTGGTATTAATACCCAGGAAGATCTGGGGTAGGGGGAGAGGGATCTGAGGAGGTACAGCTTACATGAATAACCCAGATCACAAATACAAACTACTTCCTATTACACACACGCGGTGCGCACACGACGACGACCGACTGGAAAATCACCCCGCCCTCCCTCCTGCGAGATGACAGCCAGCGGTCAATGCGACCCCGTGGGAAAAGGGTCGTAGACGTCGGGGGGAAGCTCCGCCGACCGACCAATCGCTCAACTTCCGATCCACCGTCGTGAAAAATTGCGAGAGCAGGAAGGAACGAATGCTGTCCTTGTCACGAAACTAGGCAGGGATAAGTCGAGATGGGGGATGGGGATGAACATGGAGATGCGTGGGGAGGAGGAGAGGACGACGGCGTTGGGGCGTGAAGTGGGCGGCAGCTTGCCCATATCCGGACGTGTTGCCGCGCGCCGGCGGGTTTGGGGTAGTTGGGGAAGAGGAGGGACTCGAGTCGGGGGTCCTGGCTAGCCGGCATTGTCTGTCTTGCTGGTTGGTGTCTGTCATGTCCATCTTGCTGGAATTCCGGTGAGGCTTCGTTCTATTTCTCGGAGCTTCCTGGTGTCTCGGAGGTATTATCCACAGTAATACTATACGCATGCAGGAGACAACACCCACCGCCGTTCGGGTTACTCGAATGGGTATACGGACTCTAGATTTGTTGATGGCGATGCGTCTGAAAGCTCAAAAGCTGCCTCCGAACGTTGGGATGACGGAAAACTGAACTGAATTAACGGAAAAAGCTCTGATACAGAGTCTAAATTTCAAAAGTGTGCACCTGGCGACGGAGAACTGGGATATCTACCTTTCGACTTCAGATGACGGTTCCTAAATCTGGGATAGTCCATGATACATAACCGCGGTCATCACCCCGCGCATCAAAACCGACAAGCTCGTAATGCAGCAATTAGAGTCACGACCGGCAGCATTTTGGATGAAAAGCCTCCCGCAAGTTCCCGTGATGCAACACACCAAGAGAGAATTCCACGGACGCATAGTCTGCAGTAGTCTCTCAACCGTACTGAGGCTCGTCGCCAGAAGCAGGATCATTGCTTACATTTCGGGCGTGCCGTTGTATTTGGCGTTGAGAAAATCCGCCTCAGCAGGTGTGGTACGAAGTACAGAGCGAAAGTCGCCTCAAGGCTTGTCTTGACCGGCAGGATGGTCTTCCGCGTGGCTGGATTGGACCAAGAGTTCGACAAAGGGCGATCCCGCGAGCGCCAAGTGACGTGATGTTCCCTATGAACGGAACTGCCAAGTACGCAGCCAAGTCCCAAAGGCCTTACGGGCGGGCATTCCAAAGAGTACCTAAGTGATGATGACCCCTGTTCCGGGTTCCAGAGATTTGCTCCGCATTCTCCGCGGTCTTGGAAGTTTGGAGACGACCATTCTTCCCCGCAACAGCTTGGATTCCCCAAAGATTTCTGGGACTGGGCAAAGAATTAATTGCTAGACTATGACTCGTCGAAAGCGCCGGTTCCAGTTTTGCTGACCAGAGATTGTGTGGGAAGAAAAGGAACAATGAGGGAAAACGGCCAGAAAACATGACCCTCGCAAGAGCCCCATCGTCCCATGATCCTTGACAGAATTTACGTGGAACTGCGTGTGTCCAGACAAGTTTTGCCAGCCTGATTACGCCAAAAACGACCAATCCCTGGCGTTCTCTTCCCCAAGTTCATGTTCGCGGGCGGACACCGCAGCTCGCCGGCGGCCGGGTGGGCCAAGCCGGCTTCGTTTTGGGACTAAGTCGACGGGGTTTGTCCGCGCGTGCAACTGCCGCTCGGCCATCTTCCGTGAGGACGAACTACGAGTTCCTCGCTCGACCGAGGAACCTGCGGTTTTTACGCCCGCGGAGCTCTCAAAAATCGAGTCATACTGGCATTGTCCCCTTGTCACTCTGCTCCTGTTCTGGTCACAATGTTACATGGAAAAATGCAGACGACAAGGCCAGGCCCATCGGCCCTCGACCGACAATTCGCCTCCCACAGTTCCCAGCGCCGTCGACTCCAGAAATCTCTCCCCTCAACCCGCCAAACGAGATGGATCTTGCTCGAACAAACGACCCCGTACTTTAAGCTTACATGCGGTCTCGGCCAACCAGGACCACGATGATTGCGCAGTTGAAGACGCCGGTGATTCGTGAACAGGATATCCGAGCACCCCATCGCCGTTTCCCACTCTCTCAACCCCGTCTGCCCCGAAGTAACTCCCCAGGTCCCCTATGTTTGACTAATCCGTCCCCATGGAGGAGCTTCCTTTGATGGAGAACGTATGGGGAAAACTGGAGGAGGAATATCTAAGCGCTCAACTCACGACGCGAGGAGAGGACTTCCACTCACACACACACACCTGTATTAGCACTCACACGCGCACGCCTCGAGACCGCCAGATACGAAAATTCCGTCAAACGGAGCCCACCAGTCACATGGCAGATGAAAACGTGGATGGCTGGATGTGCGCTCCATCTTCCCATACAGGGCAAACCCATCCACCCCAGGACCAGGCACGTAATTCGCATTTGGCAGTTTGCGGAGATTTATGAGCCATGCAATTTGGGACCTCATACGATGTCCAAGACTTTGGGAGTCATCGTTGGTCACCGATTTTACTTGAAAATTGCAAAAGATCGCTCATTGTATTTTGTCAGCAATTGAAGAAATTCACCGGCGTCGGAGCTTCCGCACAGCAGAGCTGCGAGGCCGGCTGATCGACAAATTTCGAGTCCTGTTTTGCGCGCCCTTCGCGGTCATCAGAATTTTCTGTCGTCGTCGTCCTGTCTACGTAGTCAAATGTCCCCTGAAACGATTAATTTTCAGGTTCGCTTACCATAAATCGCGCTTCATTGCCCCGAAACCGAGGTTTCCTTGCTGGCCCCGTCCTCCTGCTCGAGAGCAGCCGTGTCGTCTGTTTCTTCCGCAGTGTCATCGCCGTTCTCATCGCCATTCTCATCAGCAGCCTCGACCCCGTCGCTCTCGTAAATCCCCAGCCACTTGTCCTCGGTGCACAACTTCCAGTGAGTGTGCCCGAAATACTCAACCCATTCTTTAGCAAAGTCGTTGTCGAAGATCTTCATCAGCAGCATCTGGTGAGGATCCTCGTCGACGCCGCACTTCTCGCACGGCGCGAGCACCGTCGCGTGGCTGTCTTGATTCTCCGCGAACAGCGTGAGGATGTTGCCGCACGAGCCGAAGAAGCAGATGCACGGCTCCGTCGCGTCCTCGCAGACCTGGCGGCGGGAGACCACCACGTGCGCGCCTTTGCACCCCTTCTGCTCGTAGCCGAAGACGGCGGCCGTGCAGGATGCGGAGGCGATCCACTGGATGCACATTGTTAGTGTAGTATTTGTGTGGTTTGATTGAGCTGTCGTTTGATGATGTGAGTAATAGCGCGGCTGTGGGTGAGATGCGATGTGACCCGGTGTTGCGTTCTGGTTTGATGCGGCAGGGGATGCTGGCCGACTTGGGTCAACTAAATACGGGAAAGCAAAGTGAATCACTCTCCATGACAATGCTTTTGTTCATTCATGGTCGAAGACTTTGTTTCTTCACACTCATTTCTTGGCCAAGGCTGGTGGTGTCAATGAGTACAACACCACACAGTGAACATGGCATGTTGTTTGAAACAACAAAGTCTGCGCCCTTTGTCGTCAAGTCACAGTTCCGTCACAATCCTATTGTCTACCAAGAATATTCAACGTTGAATATTGATTTCTTTTGTATAATTGGAAACAACAATAGGTTTCATGGAAGTGGTTTTGCGGACGTTCATAGAAGCATGCCAAGTCGTTCTTGGCAGTTGATGTCCAAGCCCTCCAAGCCTCTTGGCACCATACAGACGGGTCCAGCCAGAGCCTCAACTCACCCAACCCGCAAAAACGCATATAACGGCCCAAACTATTTCCGATAACTCGAGGGAAACATGCCGGAAGGATCCCACGGGCATGTCCTTAAAACCTAATCGAGGTCGACCGGAATCTTGGGTCGAGAGACGAACCGGTGCCGCATAGCCGTGACAGGTGTCCAACCCGTGCGTGGCTCCCTTCGGAAAATATATCCTCAAGGGAGACCGATTCCCCGCGTCACAAGATCGACTTCCTGAAAAAGATATATCCCGTCATGGAAACAGGCCCATGACTCCGAATCAGGAACATTCGGCCCCCGGCCACTCAGTCTCGCCCGGTCTTGACTTACCCCGGATGAGTGCCGCACTGCCAGCAACACTAGAAGCATGACACACCGTCCCGTCATCCGTTGACCCGAACCCGTCATGAACCCCAGCTTCATTGCATCTCACGCCGCACACCACACACATACACACCCTTGAACATTCTCCTCCCCCGTTCCCCCAGCTCTCACGCTCCCCCAACTTTCCCCAACTCCCCCAAAAGACCCCTCGCCCTCTCCGTCCTCTCGTCGTCGTACCCCGCAAAATGGGCCAGGTTCTCCGCCGCCAACGCCGCATACCTCCTGCCTGTTTCGACCTCGCCCATGCGTACATAAGCCCGGGCGAACATGTCGTAAAAGTCGCCCAGCTGGGCCCGGAGCTTTTCCTTCTCTATGATACCTTCCATTTCTTCCCCGAGCTGCTTCATGAGTCCCGGGTTCTGGAAGACGGGCTGGTTCAGCATCGAGACGATCTGTTGTATGCGCTCGCGGTTGGCGTCTGAGGCCGCGACTGCGTCGGGTGAGCTGCAGAGGGAGCAGTTGCACTTGAAACCCCATTCCGCGAGCGTCTGTTGACGATCCTTGTAGTCCATGTTCAAAGGTGAGTCTGCCTCCGGTATCAGTCTGAGTTGGTGATATGAAAGAATTGAGAGCCTGACAGCTAATGCTTAGTTCCTCGCCAGGTAGAATGTCACGATATGCCACCACCTCCAAGGCCAGCGTCCTCGGAGAAAAGCGAGTTATTGAGCTGTTCCTGTCAGCCTATTCCTCCAACTGTTGACTTCATACCAGCAAGCTCTGAAACGTACTTCGGCCTGCAGGCATGGTTGATCCGCTGTGTTCTTGTTAGCAATCAATTGTCTTCCTCCGTCTTCGTTGGTCATGGCGTCTGTCTTACTGCGACTTCCGGGAACAATGCGTAGTGGCTGACATTGTTGAAGGTCACACCAAAGGTATTCGTACGAATGATATCCTCGAGCACATGGCCCCCGGTGCTCCTCGCGAGTTCAAAGACTTTAACTTGGTCTTTCACCGGCAGTCGTACAAACCCCTCCTCCAAAACCCACAAGGCCTCTCCCCTATCTATCGCCCTGAACGTCTCTTCCGACGCGATCTGCATTATCTTCGGATGCTCCCGCGCAATCACCTCGCCCGCGCGGATCTTCGAGAGCGCCACGGCGCCTAAACCTTTACCCGGGATCTCTTGGACCTCAAAGGGCGGGGTCTCCGGCACGACCGATAAGGGGCCTGAGTCGAGCGATCGAGGATCGAAGTCCTCGACTTGGCTGAAGTCTCCCGCGGCTACCTCTGGGCTGGTGAGGATGAGTATGCCGGAGTCGCCGCGGAAGTTGTCCTTGACGAAGGCGCAATATTTGAGGGTGGTTTTTGAGCTGGTACACACTGGCCGATGAGTCCATGGCGACCAGGCAACCGCTGTATTCGGATTAAATGGCAGAGGGCAAGTAATTTCGGTATCTGACGGCTCGAAATGTCCCAAAGGGTTCCAGCCACATCGATAGGCTTTGTCATTATCGAGGGCCGATGCTAATGCACCAGCCCAAGCACCGCCCATAACGAGAGCAGACGCAAGAAATCTCATCGTATCAACAATCCACTACAAAAGAGGGAGTCCAAAAACGCAAAATCACTGAAAATTACCGGGCCAAGCTTCTTTTTACCTCGCGGGTCGGAACAACACCCCACGGTCCTTTAGCCAAGCCGGCATATCTGGGTGTGGTTGCCGCCGCCACCCCACGACGAAATAAGCATGCATTTTAGCCGCGCTGCGGATAATGCGGATACAACCACATGGCACCCGATCGGCTCTCCGCGCCGAATCTCACTAGCCCGGGATGGGGAACCCGTTCTCACAGGGGACGGAGGCTCGCAGGCCGTGATGCCAAGTCCCGCCAAGATGCTTGGTTTTTGGGGAAATCTGCCATGTGGTGGGTGAAGGGATTCCCCAACTCGAGGAGGGGAGGGGCACGAAGCCATGGCATTGTGGCGAAGCTGTCTTGGAAAAGTCTTGGGATTTCATGAAGATTTGGGGAAGATAGAGGGCAGGTTGTGCGACGGTCTGGGCGGACCGGATCAGCAACTCAAGCCTGATGCCTCACTCTCCAGCACCATCTTCTCGCTTGTCATCACCGGCGGTGGCTTGGCTCAGTCCTTGGCAACAATCCTGTCGCGGGAAAGACCGTCAACATCCTCAAACGGCCGACAGCGTGTGCCAGCCTCAGGAATGGAAACGTACATATCATCACTCAGAGCGTTAACTCGGAAAGCTGTCAAGCACAAGTAAGAGTGGGGGTTTGGAACAGATGGACGCGGATGGGAAGTCGAAAAGGAGGCAGCGTGGCTTGGACCCGAGGCCATCCCGCGGTTGGCTCCTATGGCTTTGATTTGCGAGACGGCAGGACGAGTTGCCGGCTCATGAGAAACGGAGCACGGAGGTGAGCCGATGCCAAACGGGCCACGCGCAACGGCGACGTCCAGCTCAAGTGGCCAACACACGCCAACTAACCAAAAGAGCAATGCAACGATAATCAACTACCCATAAAAGTCGAAAAAAGACGCAAAAAAGATGTGATTGCAGTCAATCGCTGACGGGAATTGAGCCCGACGTGGCTGGGATGGGTTAGTAATGATGTTGACGATTGAAGCCAGGTGATGTTGGCAACTTACGGGTCGAACCCACAACCTTGAGATTAAGAGTCTCACGCTCTACCGATTGAGCTAGCCGGGCAGGCTATTGAAGGGGTTGTTGACATCGTGAGAGGCGGCGAGCTCAAGAATTGGGGAGTTGTGGGCGCGGGTGAGGGCTCGAGACATCGTGTATCCATTTCGGCCCCATCGTGAGAGGCGAGTGCCGCCCGGAGGACCCGAAAACGGGGCCGCGAGAAAACTTCGCGGCGGAGAGCGACAGGAGTAGCTTCCTGTGCTCAATTGGCAAACTGGGATCATGAGAATAGTAGTAATTGCGTCTTTTCAGTACAGGAGAACACCATTGAGGAAGATCGCTCGTCACGAATGAAGTAGGACGGTTGACCAGGTCAATGCTGTTCCCGGGGTGCTCTGCCGGGTAAGTTGATCTAATAATCGGGTAGGTCAGAGTCTCATTATAATGTTACATGTACACAATCAGGCTGGGGGTATTATCCAGGACATCAGGCTCGACTTCACCCGAGCCGCGCCTATTCATCCACTCTCTCCTTGACCAACGCCCAACACTTCCTCATCCCCGTGCCCATCGACTCGTCCTCCATCTCTTCAACCGTAGCCCATTTGTGCCGGGCATGCGACGAGACGAAATCATCCGATCCATCCGCTTCAAATAGGTGAACATGCATCGTCAGCTTGAGGTGCGAAAAGAGCCAGGGCACACTACCCAGCTCTCCAGCATGCCGCAGCTTCGGCTTTCCACCACCACTGACCAGACCCGACACATAAGCCTGCGCATCTTTCTTTCGTGATGCTGCAGTATTGCTTGAGCCGGCTGGCAGGGTATGGCTGGGTAGCTCCCATAGTCCCGCGAGAAGACCCTTTTCGGGGCGTCGATGGATCAAGAGACGTCCGTCAGGGCGCCGGATCGCGCACACGAGGGCTTCTTCCTCTCGGACTGCCTTCTTGACGACCTTGAGCGGGAACTTCCTGGCGTGGTTGGCAATGACTTCCAATGTCTTGGCATCTACCGCCTGCGTTTTCGGAGAATCTTCGACCTTCGCTGCGCTCTTCGACGTGAAGAATGCTGAAAGGGTAGCCTGTTTCGGTCCGGGAGCAGACTTCTTTCCTTTGGTCGCCTTGACCGGTTTCTTCGGGGCAGCGTCGGAGTCCTCGCCAGACGCGACGCCTTCGTCTGCCTCCTCCTCGAACGGTTCGCATATCGAGCAAAGATCTTCGATGTCCTCCACCTTGGGCGCCTTCTTCGACCTTGTAGCTAGAAGGAGCCCCTCGGCGTAAGCGCGACATGTCGCCGTGATGGGACATTCGCCGCAGTTCGGCTTTGGCGTGCAGACGGTGCTTCCCAGCTCCATCAACGCCTGCCCCCACCGGCCGGGCCGATCGCTCGTCGGAGGCTTGGTCTCGTCAATCCCATCAGCATCCCTCGCAACAGCTTTGACAAGCGCGTCCGCCGCAGCCCACAAGAGATCAATGACCATCTTGTCCGTCTTCACGTTTCCAAAAACACCCAATTGCCGACTCAACACCCTCAACACATTCCCATCAACCATCGGCGCCGCCCGCCCGAACACGATGGCCGAGATCGCGCCGGCGGTATACCTCCCCACGCCGGGAACCTTGGCCTCCAGCTCCGCCGTGTCCGCCGGCATCAAGCCCTCGAACTTCTCATCGGCAACGACAAGCTTCGCAGCCTCGTGGATCCGCGTCGCGCGGGAGTAGTACCCCAGCCCGCGCCACGCGCTCAGCACGTCCTCCGGGTCCGCGGCCGCGAGGTCCTGGATCGTGGGCCACCGCGCCATCCACTTGTTCCAGTAGTCGATGACGACGGCGACGCGGGTCTGCTGCAGCATGATCTCGCTGATCCAGACCTCGTAAGCGCGCCTCTCGAGCGCGGCGCGGAGCTCCGAAGGGTCCGGGATGGAGGCCGGGTCGATCCAGGCTTTGCGCCAGGGCATGCCGCGGGTGGTGCTGATGGAGTCGAACCATGCCAGGAGGGAATCCCGTCCGTCTCTACCGCTTGATACGTCCAGAAGAAGCGGTCGGTGGTACGAGACTGCGTGTGTTCTTGACGGCGGAGGGCAGGCGTCCTTCTCGGTCAGCTCCCCTGAAGGGCCGAGTAAAGATGCGTGAAGCTTTGCGGCTTCGGATTTGGTGGGCTTCTTGGCCTTTTCGACCTTGCGCCGTTTTGGCTGGGGCTCAACGATCTCATGGCCGTCGTCATCCGGCTCAGCGCCCGGGTTGAAGTCCTCCTCTGACGCGTCGGTTCGCGGTGGTGATGGCTGTGTCGTGACCTGACGCGTCTTGGGCTGCTTCGCCGCCGGCTTCTTGTGCTCTAGTTCGGGCTCGTCTTCGGCTTGGGCCAATATTCTCTTGGCAGCTGCAAGCGAGCTCTGTCGCCGGACGACGTAGCGCTGCATTTTCGTAAAATTTAGGACATGAAGGCGTTGACTTTAGAGCTTCATCGTGAGACGCGTCTTCTGGTGTCAAATTTAAAGTGGTATTTGCTTTTTTCGACGTCGCGGGCGCTGAGGCCAGCACGCGAATCAATTTAGCGTCGATTTTGAGTTGAGACCGCTGAATCCCGGATCGATTCAGGGACGGACCACTGTAAACTGCACAGTAACCAACTGGCTTACATGAAAAAGGTTTCGAGACATCGCTTCTGATACCTCCACCATCGATCTCAGGGAGGCTAGAACCTGTCAGATGTTGACCAGCAGAACATTTTCCATGTTCGTTATCAAAAATACATGCCCACGACCAGTTGATTCAGCTGCAGAAGCCAAAAAGGTCCTGCCAGGATTCGAACCTGGGCTTACGGAAGAATCTGATGGTAGTCAGAATCCGACGTCCTAACCAACTAGACTACAGGACCGTGGTCAATGACGTACATAATTGCGGTCTTATCGCATCGCGCAATTCTGCGCCTCAACGATCGCGATTCATTCGCCTTGTAAACGCGTAAGACATGCGCAACAAGCAGTACGCAAGACTTTGGGGGTACGAGTAGGATGTACTGTTGCTATTTGACACTCGATGAAATAAGGCTGGAAGGGGGTAGCGGCTCTCGAGTATCGTCAGACTTTTCGCTAAACCATTCGTCCTCCAGGAGTTGCTCGGCGGTAGGACGGTCACGGGTCACGGTGATCCAACTTCAAGATCCTAAGGATAAAATCCCGGTCCGCAGGCGGTACCTCACGGCGTGTGACTTGAAGAAAAGGTTTCGTCGGGGGGTCCATACTGTAAATAAAGCCGATAACGCCCGCTGCATTGTCGTCGGCAATCTCCTGGAATGAACTGGGAAAGGTCCAAAATAGCGGTACATCCGGGATAATACCACCAATTCATGGTATTCATCCTCGGGTTTGCAACCCTCATTGGCAGGATTGAAGATGTGAAACCCTCCCCCGTACAATAAGGTGAGAACCTCCACAAGGCGTCCATGTTAGTGTGCGTCTTTGGATTGAAGAGCCCATTCAATGTACGTACGGCGTTTCCAAAGGACCAAATGTCCGTCGAGGCTCCCCATGAGAGACCGAACTACACTTCAGGGCTACGGGTGACACTTGCGCCGATGAGATGACCCGGCTCTGTAGCGTACTTGGAGTCCTTGGAGACTACGCCCCCACAATCCCCGAGCTGGATGGCGGTGAATCGTTCAGGGTCACCTTGTTGACCAAGATTCACAAATATGTTGTCCAGTTCGATGTCTACCGGAGGATCAGCTGCGCGCTGTTTGGATTGAGGTGTTACTGGGTACCCAATTACGAACCAGTATGGACCATACCGTTCCGGTGTAAGATGTGGAGGGCTCCCAGCACGCTTTTAGCCACCTTCTCAATGTCAGATCGAGATAACCTCTGTCGATTTGACTCAGTGAGGAGGTCGCTGTCAAGGTATTTCAAGACAATGGACGGAGGGTCGGCTGGGTTCTTGATCTCATCCTCAAGTGGGCGGAGCAAGGAACTTGTTGCCTGGTACTTGCGCAGAATAGAGGCCTCGTTTTCGAGACGCCGGTGGCCCCGAATGCTCTTCACGATACATTTTGCTCCGCTCTCATTCCTTCGATGTTCATCAGGTACTGCACTTCCATTGTCGTGGGTGGAGAGATGCCCACCTTCCGAGACAAATAGCCCATTGATCTGCGGCCCGATGAAGTTCCTTAACAACAGAATACGTCGATATACGGCCACGGAGGCTGTGACCGAGATTAAGTAGCGAAACCATTGCTACCTCGCGAGCGTGGTCTGAGTTTTGGCCACTCTTCCACAGTTGATGTAAAAGGCCACACGAGGGAGAGGAAGAGAAGTCAGAAATTTCAGAGATGATCCGAAACCAATCACGTGTTAATACCTCAGGAAAAGAAGCCTTTCTCATTCTAAATCACGGCTTGGCGGATTAACAGCATGAAAAAAGTCACCTCAAGATGAAGAATAGGCAGAGGAAGCACTCCTGGCCTTGAGCCATTTGTTTCAACCCAAAAGATATTCCAGTGCATCCTCAATTTTTCAAGACTCTCTTTAGTTCGTTGTAAGAGCACGCGCATTTTAGATTGATTTCTTCAATTCTAATTTCCTTTCTAGTTGCGCTATATGCTCAAGCAAAGTTGGCGTTGTTACGCAGTCCAGCCGTCACCGGCGCATGTCATCCAGTTGACGCCGACAAGCTTCAGCCCATGCTTCTCCGCAAACTCCGCCGGCTTCCACGACCGTCTCTGCACGAACTCCTCCCCGCCAACGTCGTCCTTCTTCAGGTCGAGACCCTCAGGCTCCCGGTAAAGAAGGAAAAGGTATCGGTGCGGCTTGGAGCTGATGATGGGGGACGTCAGCAAGTTGCTTCAGATTCGCGTTCCCTGCATTGGCCACTTACTCATCCTTGGGTCCGGGTCCGAGGAACTCCGTCAACGCCGGCTTCGTCTCCCCGACCACCGCATCCCCGCTGAGGGGCTGCAGCCCGGGGAGGACCCAGTGGCGCCAGAAGGCGAACTGCGGGTTGTCGGGCGTCGGCGCGTCCGGGTCGGTCAGGAAGAGCGTGTACGAGGCGTTCGACGGCGCGCCCTCCTCGGCCTTGAAGGAGATGCCGGGCACGAGCTTACACTCGCCCGCGCGGAAGAAGTTGCCCGTCTCGACGGCCTTGCCCGCGAACGACACCTCGAGCTTGGTCGTGGGCTTGAAGCCCTCCGGGATTAGCCCCGCCGCCGAGCCGGGGACGAGCTTGGCCTCCTCGAGCGTGCTTGTGAGTTTCTGCGCGTGGTCGGCGAGCGACATTGTGTTGATCTGTTCAATTGATGTGTACGAAGAAGAAGCTGATGCAAGATTGACGAGAACTACTTCCTTTCAAGAATGAATTGGTCGATGGCTAGCGGGTGTTTTTGACCCGAAGACGTGATGCGCGATGACCTACGCGGGGTCGGGCGTGGGATGAGGGGGATTGACGCAAGTGGTGGAAAATTGCTGCTGCAGATGCGCGAACAGTCTTGGCAGATATAAAGGTGCTTGTTAACTGTGTCAACTTGTTTATCCGAGAAATACGGAAATGGCCATTGCCTTCTCATTCAAAGAGTATTCGATATGTTTTATTGGTCGCGGAAGAGGTCCATTGATGGTACTGGACTGCCATGAATAGTGGCGCTGGTGAGTTAGGTTGAGATCATAATGACGATGGACGCTAATAGCAATGGAAGACTGGAGAAACACACACTCGAGACAGCAACTGATCCCGAAAGACAAGCTTCCCGTCTTGTGCAATGTGTTTGGAATTGTTTCCAGGCAGACTACAAGGCACAATAGGGCACAAGATGCAAACGTCGCTTAACGTTGGAAATCACAAATGACAGCAGTAGACGCTCGTTGCTTCATCCTCAACCGTCGCTCTGCTTAATTGAAAACATGGGGGCTAATCAAGTATTTCGGCGGGCCGCTTTGGTAAGAAACTCCCAAACTCAACTCAAATTAGGCATCTGTCAGACAGAGTTGATTAAAGTCAAAAGAGGATGCATGCTCATCCTTTTCAATCGTGAGGAGAAGGCGACCTTCAGCGTATGCTGTACAGGCTGGTTCAGCATGTACCGACTGAATAGACTTCCGGCAAGCAATCTGTGATGGCGGCCACACTGCAAGGTCTTCCTCTGCTTATGCCAATGGAAATTGGGCGATTTCAATTGAGATCCATTTGATCAACAGTTTCCAAGTTCTTGCAGAGAAAAGCCATCTTGATGAGAGCCTGTCTTCAATGCGCGCACTTGCCCAATCTCAGTGGTTCACGCTACTAGAGTTGCAGTTGTGCTAGAAGATGTTAACCAATCAGGTCTCAAATCCCCGATGGCACAATTGGCTAGCGCGTCAGACTGTTAATCTGGAGGTTGGTGGTTCGAGCCCACCTCGGGGAGTTACAGGGGTTAGAATCCGCTCTCGAGTTGAGACTTCTTTTTGACTTTTTTCACATTTTATATTATTCCTTTTATTTTTAGTCGTTGTGATCATTTCTACATAAATTCCTCGTGTTCAGTTATTATTTTCTTTGGCGTGAAGGTATTTCCTATAATTATGCAAGTGGTTGGTGCCAGCGATTGTACTTAAATACCGCTAATATTTTAAATAATCACTGGAATTATAGAAGTCATTGAGTTTAGCTTGTGCAACGCTTTTTTATTATCAATCAATTAAGTCGACTATGGCAACGTGTAACCTCCATCAATCACCAGATTGGCACCTGTACCCGTTAGCATCTACTTGTAGGTGCAAGTGAAAGCAAGAAGACATACCCGTCATGTAACTGCTCGCGTCACTGGCCAGGTACACGTACGAGCCCTTGAGTTCAGCGGGCTCGCAAAGTCGTCCACCAGGAATCATCGAGAACCACTTCTTCCTCCACTCCTCCGGGTGCACCGAAAGCACTACGTCCGTCAGTATGATTCAAACTGCAACAGAACAAGGCAAAGACTCACTATCCGTGGCGATGAACCCGGGAGACACGCAGTTCACCCTCGCAAAGTCAACCCACTCCACAGACAACGACTTGGCGAGGTGCACCACCGCCGCCTTGCTGGCGTTGTAAGCCGCCTGCTTCTGCGGAACGTTAACCAGAATAGCCGACACCGATGCCGTGAAGACGATGCTGCCCCGCCCATCGCTTCCACCCTTCTGCTGCCTCTCAAACACCTTGGCCGCCGCCTGCGCAGTCCAGAATGCGCCGTGGAAATTCACGTCCAGCATCTCGCGGAACCTGTCCTCCGGGTACTCGATGGCGGGGATGTGGTCCGCAATGCCCGCGTTGGCGACCACGATGTCGAGCTTGCCGCCGCCGACCTCCTTCGTCGCCTGCTCGATCACGGCCTCGACCTCGGCGCGTACCTTTACGTTGCACTTGTAGGCCTTGACGAGCACGCCGTTGCCCGACTTGGAGAGGGCGGCGGCGGTCGCGTCGGCCTCCTCGGGGGCCGTGCTGGTGTAAGTGATGGCGACCTTGGCGCCGGCCTCGGCGAGGCCGCGGGCGGCTTCGAGGCCGATGCCGCGGGTTCCGCCCGTGACGATGGCGGTCTTGCCGGCGAGGTTGAAGTGGGAGAAGACCGGCGCTGCGGGGTTCGGGTGGCTTGGGAGGACCATGGTTGCGGCTTTGTGGCTGAGATTCTGGGTTTAGAGGTGAGGTTGTGGTGATGTGGTAGTGTGTGGTCTGACACCTCGGACCAGGGCAGAAGCCAGGTAAGTGCCGGGGAATTTGTACCGGGACACTCACGGGAGAGGCGGATCCGGGTGCCGTCATCGCGGCCAGGCGCGAATCAGGAGATCGGTCGACTGTCGCCCGGACCGGTGTGGGTCGCTTCGGTGCGGGGAACCTGGGGAAGCGGACGCCTGTGGCCCATGTCCGGAGATTGGCCCAGCCGTGACTTATTGACTTGAGGGCTCAAGATCTCAATGACAGTCTATGGAGCCTGTGTTATTCTGAATTTATCAGTGTTTGTACATCGTGGAGAGATGATGTGCCTTGAAGGGTTTGTGGCATCCATCATGATGTTGATGTCACTAGATAGTATTGACGGTGTGAGAAAGCAATGACAACTCAACTCCAGTGTCATTTTTTATATCCTCGTCTCAATTAGAAAGAAATCACCACGTTCTCGAAATGATCTTACAACAATCATTCTGTACATTGCATATTTCATTTAATTAACAATCATTGCCTCGCAGGAAGCTGAACAGGCCTGGAATAGGATGGACTCTTTGTAATGGGGAAAAGTTCATGTCATATCGATTAGATTTTGAGTTTTGTTCCATACGCTATTTTGGCACTCCCTGGATGACAACCTTCAGTGTATCCTCCTTCGCCTGTCTCACAACCTCAAATGCTTCCACCGCCTCTTCAAACTTGTAGCGGTGCGTGATCAGTTTTCTCGGGTTGACCTTTCCTGACGCCACCAAGTTTACCGCTTCAGGGTAGCATCCGGTGGTGTATCTGATGGATCCCTTGATGTTCAAGGCACGAATACAGGCGGTAGTGATGGGGAAAACCACATTCTGAAGCAAGTTAGTTCAAGAGCCCTCATAACGCACGGAGAAGGGTTTTCTTACCTCCTTGCCCATGCCAGCCTGGACATAAGTACCACCCTTCTTCGCCGCAAAAACTCCAGCCTGAATACACGGCTCAGCACCCGTGCATTCCAGAACAACATCAGCGCCCTCCCCAAGGCCGTAGTCCCTGACGATCTTCTCTCCAACTGCACGCGCAGCCTCGACGGGGTCCTCCGGCGCGTTCGGGAGCTTCTCGGAGACGTAGACATCATCAGCCGCGAAGTCCCTCGCGAACTGCGCCCGAGACTCGGAGATGTCGACGCCGATGACCTTGCTGGCGCCGTAGGCCTTGGCCACCGCCTGGCAGAGCACGCCGATGGGTCCGCATCCGAACACGAGCACGGTCTGCCCGCCCTTCAGCTCCGCGACCTTGCAGATCTGCACGGCGACCGCGACGGGCTCGACCAACGCACCGTCTTCGGAGGACATGTGTTCCGGGATGGGGTATGTGTAGTCGCCCGCGACGATGTAGTACTTCTGCAGCGTCCCGTCCCATGGCGGGGTGGCCGCGAAGATTGTGTCGTCGCAGAGATTGTAAGTGCCAGCTCTGCAGTGATTGCAGCTTTTTCACCCTGTCAGAATACATCTCATTGGAAGAGAAAAAGCTGGCGAGACTTACTGCCTGCACGGCACACCGGGCTCGATCGCCACGCGGTCGCCAACTTTGACGTTCTTCACCTTACTACCGACCTCGACGACGGTACCGGCACTCTCGTGGCCGAGGACGATCGGAGACTCCAGGATGAAGTCGCCGATGCGGCCGCGTTGCCAGTAGTGGACGTCGCTGCCGCAGATACCCGTCTGCTCAATGTGCACGCGGACGTCGTACTCATCGCGCAGCTTAGGCACCTCGCGGTTCTCGAACGAGACGTTCTTGATGGAGTGGAGCACGAAGGCAGGGTTCTAAGGGGGCCGATCAGCGCTGTGATCGAGGCAGCCGGGGAGCTTGGCTTACTATTTCCGACATCTTGAGTTCTGGTGTATGGGGTTGAGTTTAATTTCGATCACAACCCTGATGGTGACGAGACTTGGAATAGTATGGAAGTGTTGGTTGAACTCCCTCAAGCTTGCAATCATCTTATTTGTGCAGGCGGGAGATGGCCGTGACGTCGATGGCGGGGTACTGCGGCGCCGGCCGGGGTGGGGCCGCCGTGAGGGGCCGAGCTGCGGTCGGGCGACTGTTGCCCGACGCTCGTAGAGCGGGCGTCCCTCTACGCTGCAAGCAGTGAGCCTCTCCTGAAAGATGTCTCCGAGATGAGTCTGCTGTGCTGTATCAGTGGTCTATAATTGCTGTCCTCGCTAGGGTCGTTGTTCCCGTTCGATTGCAGCAGCAAACAGCAAATCGTAACCGCCATCATGGAGTCAACCTACCAGTCTCTCATCCACCGGATCCTCTCCAAGTGGGACGAAAAGAAGCATTCCTCTTCCGACATCTCGGACACACATCCCCGCCTCATTATCGCGCTAGCGGGTCCCCCTGGCTCCGGTAAAACAACCATCGCCCAGCGCGTCGTGTCGGCCATCAACACCTCTCCCGAGCCCCACCCCAAGTCCATCGTCCTGTCCGCGGACGGCTTTCACCTACCCCTGGCAACTCTGCGCGCCCTCCCAAACGCGGCGGAAGCCATCGCCCGGCGCGGCGCACCCTGGACGTTCGACGGGCCGGCGGTCGTCGACCTCGTCCGCCAGCTGCGGTCTTCGGCGGGGCAGCGGCCGGTTCTGGCCCCGACTTTCGATCACAAGATCAAGGACCCCGTGATTGGTGGTTTCACTGTCGACGCGGACGTTGAAGTCTGTATCATTGAAGGGAACTACTTGCTTGTCGACGAAGAGCCTTGGGATCAGATTGCTCCCTTGGTGGATGACAGGTGGCTTGTAAGAGTTGAGCCAAGCTTGGCTCGCATGAGGGTCGCGAAACGGCACATTGCGGCTGGTATTGAGACAACTATGGAAGATGCACTTCATAGGGCGGAGACGAATGATATGATCAACGGCGAGTTCGTGGCTAAGCGCAGTGAGGGAAGGTATGATGTACCGGTTGATAGCGTAGAAGAGCTGCCTAATTAGGAAATCACAAACTCAACGCTATGATTAACTCGAAACTCCCTATGTGTAGTTACTTGGCTTTGAATGTCTCTTGGTATTCCATTGGGCTGTGTTGTTGAGTAGCTTCTGTTGTGAGGGCGACAGTGTTCCGGTGCGGCCATCGAATCCGAGGCCTGCGAGCAAGGGACGGCGACGGAAGCCCGGAGACCAAAGTCTAAGGCACAATTACGGGAAATTAAGCTGGTGTGTTCCAGGATGGCTGCTGTTTTATGAGAGGCACAGGCGTCTCTCGTGACTTCTATTTGAACCCTGGTCGTGAAGTTGCGAGAGAAAGCCTTTCGACTACACCACAAAACCCTCGCCTCGAAGTCAAGCCTAACATCAGCAGATAAAGCAACTGTCAGACAATCGTCCCAAAAAGATTTGTTTCCTACTGTAGCTTTGCTTTCATATCACCTTCCGTATATCCAAAATGGCCACCAACGGCACTACAAACGGAACAAGAAAGTCCATTCGGGCTCCCAACCCCCCGGTTCAGGACAGTGTCTTCAAGCAATTCCGTCTCGACGGCCGTACTGTCATCATCACTGGCGGAGCAGGGGGTATTGGGCACGAAATCGCCAAGGGTCTCGCCGAAGCCGGCGCCAACGTACGACCGCCATTCTCAGCCCGGATATACTAGACATGACTGACATGAAATGCTACCTGTAGATCGCCATCTGGTACCACACGTCCTCTAAAGCAGCCAACTCTCTGATCGAGACCCTTACCAAGGAGTTCGGCGTCAAGTCAAAATCCTACCAGGTCGATGTCCGCAACTACAAGGCAGTAGAAGCGGCCGTAGCCGAAGCCGTCAAGGACTTTGGCCGTCTGGACGTCATGATTGCAAATGCGGGAGTGCCGTCCAAGGCAGGCGGTCTCGACGACAAGGTCGAGGACTGGGACCATGTTCGTTCGGTCGACTTCGATGGCGCCTACTACTGCATGAGGGCGGCGGGCCTGGTCTTCCGCGAGCAGAAGGGAGGCGTCGGCATTATCACGGCGTCGATGAGCGGCCACGCCGCCAACGTGCCGCAGGAGCAGAGCTGCTACAATGCCTGCAAGGCTGGAACCGTGAGTGTCTTCCGCGTGTGGCCTGACTGACCTTTCGGACTAACACCGAGGTGCCTTGCAGATTCATCTGGCCAAGTCCCTGGCTGTCGAGTGGGCTAAGTGGGGAGGCCGCATCAACTCCGTGTCCCCTGGTTACATCGACACAGCTATCTCGGGCGATTGCCCGTTCGAGATGAAGGAGGAGTGGTTCAGCTTGACGCCGCTGCGTAGAGACGCTGACCCCAGGGAGTTGAAGGGCATTTACCTGTACTTGGCCAGCGACGCCAGCTCATACACGACGGGTGCGGACTTCATTATCGATGGCGGTTACACCGCGAGGTAGATGTGACAACAGAACATGATTTAAGTTACCACATTAAAATGATCTACAATTTCAAATATCTCACCTTATGTTGAATTATAGGCATGTTGAGGGAGTGTTATAACACAGTGCATCGTTGTTTCTGATGCTTTTTCTTTCTATATCATACCTATACTTCTGTAGAACTTGGTTCTCGAACTCTTAATTGCTAACTTGCAACATGAAGTTGTAACCGGAGATCGTGAGGCGTTGGCTTACAAGTGTGAAAGCTGAAAACTGTAGCCATCTCCCTAGACATCACTCGTCCTGTTTTTCACAATACAGGCAAATGAGCCATTTTTGTTGGACGTCAAGCACTCAAAGAGTATCCATGTTTTACAAACAGGAGGTCCATACCCGTCGACTGACTGGTTCAATCATCAATGCTGCAGTTTTGAAGCACTAAGATACTTGTTGCTTCATTCCAATGATTGATTACTTTAAGCTTTCAGAAACTTGTTTAGAGGCGTTCCCAGAACACAGACATCTTAAAGATAATTGGAAAGGTCCGTTTCGTTGTCAATTGCGTACATCACGCATCATCTGAGTCTTCGAAGGGACCCGTCCCAGTGGGCCTCACATACAAGCAACTATGGACGATGCCCGAGGTCTCCATGCCGTTCTCCGACTTACATCGAAACGATCACAACATACGTCAGTGAATCTTTTTCGAGACATCACGATCCAGCAGACGACCCGGTTCAACTTCGTCGTCACCCGATCATCGAAAGATCCCGGCAGGCGGCTGTCACTCACCCCTGCCCAGCCTGTCACCAACTCTTATTGCCGGGCAAAGCCTGCATGAACTTGGCACCAACGACAGTCGACGCAGCGGACCTGAGCCCCCGTTTAGTGAGGGTGACAGTCGTCCGTCGTCCCCGCACAGCGCGATGTTCCCTCCGCAATCCATGACTCGCGAGCGAACGCAGCCTAGCACCGCAAGCACGATGATGCAACTGTTTGCTGTACCCCATGGGCTAATCCCCCGTATTCCACCGACCCATTTACCACGTTATGTGGGGTAACTCGAGCATGCGGAGTGTTTAGCGGTGCGAATGTTCCAGGTTCCGGCCGTTTGGGTGAGCGACAACATCGCGCTACGTAGGATTTGTTGCACTTCGTTTCGCGTGCAATGTTGATGTATAAATCTCGTGCGGGTCCCGCATCAAATACTATTGTCGCTTCCCCAGGTTTCCGGATATCATAAAGTTGTCTCACTTGGATGCCATTGTGTTTTTGTTAGTCGATCGATGCCAGGCACGCGACCTCGGATATAAGCGAACATGAAGGACGAGCAGATTGTCGGTGCCGCCCTGGCCGAGGTTCTCCCCAAGACGGACAAGTACTGGTTTCAACAATCACACCTGCTGAGGTTGAACCTGATTCTCTTGATTCCTCTTCTGTCTTCTTCGGTAGCAGGATACGATGGTACGTCTCAGCCCCTTTAGTTCAAGTCCGAGAATGCCGGTATCTGACCAAAATTACCCACAGGATCGTTGATGAACGGCCTGCAATCGCTTCAGCAATGGCGAGAATATTTTGGGCATCCAGCCGGCGTCAAGCTGGGAGTTATCAACGCAGCGCAGTCCATCGGCTCCGTCCTGGCACTCCCTATCGTCGGATACCTGGCGGACCGCTTCGGTCGAAAGCCAGTTCTCCTCTCGGGCATCATCCTCATCATCGTCGCCACAATCATCCAGTCGACTTCGATCAATCTTGCCATGTTCATCGTCTCGCGCCTTGTGGTAGGGTTTGGCGGCATGTTTGTGGTACACCCAAGCCCTTTACTCATCGCTGAGTTGGCATACCCGACGCATCGCGGAAAGTACACATCGGCATACTGGACTATGTACTATCTGGGTAAGCAATCGTCGAATCAATGAGATTTTCCTGCCTTTTGCTGACTGTCTTGTCTCTACAGGTGCCATTCTGGCCTCGTGGACGACCTTTGGCTGCCAGGACTACCAAAGCGAATGGTCCTGGCGCATACCCTCCATTCTTCAAGCCGGGTTCCCTCTCGTGCAACTGTGCTTCTACTTCTGGGTCCCAGAGTCTCCTAGATGGCTCGTGTCGAGAGAAAGAACGACCGAAGCCGCCGAGGTCCTCGCCAAATACCACTCTGGAGTCCTTGATCGTGCAGGTGGCCACACACCACTGGTCCGCCGCGAGCTGTCAGAGATTGTCCAGACCATTCGACAAGAGAAGACTGCGGAAACGACTGGTTGGATGGCTCTGGTCTCGACTCCAGGAAACCGCAAGAGAACTCTGATCGCGGTTTGCGTTGGAGCCTTCGCTCAATGGGTAAGTTCAACCGCATCAAAGAAAGTTTCAGGGGTACTAACAGATTTCAAAAGAACGGAATCGGAGTGGTTTCATACTATCTCACGCTGGTTCTCAATACAGTCGGCATTACGGACACATTCGATCAAACACTTATCAACGGCCTGTTGCAAATCTTCAACTTCGCCGCAGCCCTCGGTGCCGCATTCCTCGTCGACCGCCTCGGCAGAAGAACCCTCTTCCTCTGGTCAGGAGCCGGTATGCTGGTCAGTTACATCGTTTGGACTGCATGCTCAGCCGTCAACTCGAACACCGGCTCGAAGCCCGCCGGAATCGTTGTCGTGGTCTGCCTTTTCACGTTCTACTTCCACTACGACATCGCGTACACCCCGCTTCTCATGGGATACCCCACGGAGTTGTTCCCCTTCTCGTTGCGTTCGAAGGGTATTGCGGTTGAACTGTTCGCCATCTATGGTTCACTGATCATTGCGGCCTTCGTCAACCCGATTGGTATGGAGAACATTGAGTGGAGGTACTACATTGTTTTCTGCTGTCTTTTGGCAGTGTTCTTATGTGTGACTTGGTACTTATTCCCCGAGACCAAGGGTCACAGCTTGGAGGAGATCGCCGTTATTTTCGACGGTCCACAGGCTGTTGAAAACTTTGAGGGTAGCTCCGATGTAAAAGAGGAGAAGATTCTGGCGAATGGCGGGATCAGCACCGCAGTACACAAGGAGGACGCATGAAAAGTCGATGAATTAGCATACTGTGATCTGTCATAAGAGCAGATAATAATTTCAGTTATATTCGTACAAATTAAAACACTCGATCAAGTCAATAAACGCCGAGATTCTCAAGTCAACATCTCTGGACGGCCGCTCAACGTTCTGAAGCCACCCCTTACGGCCTCTGTTATCCGTTCCCAACAGTTCCCACATGAGAAGCTGCTGCGAATCCGAGTAGACGATACATAAGCAGAAGTGCACGTTTCTCTTGAGCTTCGAGACATCGATTCTGCTTGCGTAACTGCGCAACCCAATCCAATAACTTCCTCAAAGTCCGCCGTGCCCGACTAACACCGGACGGAGCTCGGATTGCAGGGATCTTTCGTTCCCCCTTGATCGCGATCAGTCACATTGTGGATCAACGACCTCGCAAGCGTGTGGAGAAAATGGCGGGGTTTAATGCACCTGGAGACTTGGAGTTGGAGCTGGGGTGAGGAGCAACCTCCGACCTCGTCCGACCCGCAGCCAGCCTCACCCAACACGCGACAAACGTCCGCTCCTTCTCATCTGTCTTGCTGCTGCATGCTCATGTTATGACGCTGCCGCTCGCCCAAAGCCGGACGACAACCGCCCTTACTCCAATAGGCCCATGTCCGTCCGTATCGGGTCACCAACATCACGTTCCCCGAAGCCTGGATCGCGATCCCAGCCACCCTAGCGAGCGCGTTTGATTTTGTTTGAAGAAACGATGTCATCATCGGGCTCCATCGGCGACATCCCGGCCGGGTTACTACCTCCGGACCCGGCCTCCGTCGGCATGGCCTTTGCATCTGCCGATCAGGCATGCAAGGAGTGCAGAAGGCGCAAGGCGAAATGCAATCGGGCTATTCCGACCTGCAATCTGTTTGTAGTAACTATTCTTGAGGGCTGACATATGCTGACGAGAGTCAAAGATGCGTGAAATACCGGCGTCATTGCCTGTACGAAAAGCACGCGCGGACACCACTAACGAGGAAGTATGAGAGCTCCGTATGGGGAGGGGACGTGTGTGGTGTAGCTTGTTGTGAGAAGATTTTTTTGGCGAGGACAGTGACTTACATGTTGTGCAGACATCTTACCGAAGTCGAAGAGAGGTTGGAACGGGCCGAGGCGCTGATCACGCACATGCGGGCTCTCATGCCGACTAACGTAAGGTCGGGTTCGGCTCTGGGAACGCCCGGGAGACTGGAGACTCCGGCGCCGAGAGCGGATGAGACCTTTGACTTTTCGAGATTAGACTCCCCGGCCCCGAATACCACACATACAGCACCATCGCATCCGGTCCCTGCTGAAACGGACCTCAGCATGCTTTCACGGGGTGAGCCTGAACATGTTTCTCAAGCTCAACCTGTGCGAGTCCCTCTTACACGCAACACGATCAACTCGTCGTCGCCGGGATTCGTCACAAACGTGAACACGCAGAGAGCCCCGAGACCGTCTCACCACCACCATTCAGCAAACGATGCCATTCACAGAGACCTCAACCTCCTCGAGGCTCACCCAACAGACGACTTCGAATGGGACGAGCAAGAGACCCTGACGAACTACTCCGCATCTCCCGAAGCCATCCAGGAAACAGATGCCAATGGCGAGGTGACCATTGCAGACGGTATGGCGACGCTCGCCGTAAGCGAGAAAGAGTCCGGCTACCTCGGCGTCGCGTCCGGTGCCGCCCTGCTCCGCCTCCTCGAACCATCGACCCCGCGTCGGCGGACCCAATCTTCCTCTTCACGAACGGCACCGATAACTCATATGCAATACCCCCTTACTGCGCAACCTGACCCGAACAGACACATCACTGACGCCATGATCGATGCTTACTTCAGGCTCTATCACGTCAGCTACCCGATCATCCACGAGGCAACGTTTCGTGCGCAGTATGCTGGTGTTATACCTCGACCAAGTGGTGACTGTTGGCTAGTTTTGGCTTACACTGTCGCTGCTATTGGAGTGTATACGACAGCAACGACTCTCGATAACCTCGATATGTCACTATTTGGCCAGGCACGGTCGATCTTGTCCTTCAACTTCCTCGAAGTCGGAAACTTAACGCTGGTGCAGGCTCTCACTCTCATCTCCAATTACCAGCAGAAGCGAGATAAGCCTAACTCAGGGTACAATTATCTCGGCTTAGCTGTGCGTATGGCTATGGGTCTCGGCCTCCATAAAGAGTTCCAAGGTTGGAACATTTCACCCCTGAATATGGAGATACGTCGCAGAGTCTGGTGGTCTTTATGCGTTTTCGATGTCGGCGCAACCATCACCTTCAGTCGGCCCTCGGTCTTTCCCTCTGAAGGCGTTGACGTCTCTCTACCCCTCAACGTCGATGACAAGGTACGTCGGGGTCTTTTAAGGCCTGCCTCAATAGCCAATGTTAACTTAACTAGTCCCTAACTGCCATCTCAAAATCTTATCCGCCGGAAACCGAAGGAATAACCCCCTACACAGCCGTCCGAACCCAAGCAAGCTTCCACATTGCAACAACACCAATCTACACGCGCGTGATTTCAAAACCCTTCCCGTCTGCGGAAGAGATGCTGCGTCTAGACGAGGAACTCCTCGAGTCGTGGCTTTCCAGCGTACCACTTTACTTCTCCGAAACGGCAAAGGTGCATCCCAAATACGCTCTAGCACACGCTGTAATGAATTGGCGGTACAGGAACCTCAGAATCATAATGTACCGCCCATTCGTCATTCGTCGTGCACTTCAAGCCCGGGACAGACGACCAGATGACTCGCCTTCAAACATCCGAGCTTACGAGAAGTGTCTTGCGGACGCGAAGGCCACCATCACGAGCATCAGCGAGTTCTGGGACCGTAATGAACATAATAGACTGGGAGCATGGTACGCATTGTAAGTCAATTCGATTCCTAGATACTACCAGCCTTCTGATGTTTTGTCTAGATATTTCCTCTTCCAGGCAGCCCTGATTCCCTGCATCTGCCTCCGAAACGATCCCAGTTCCCCCAACGCCTCAGACTGGCGCCAGCAAGTCACCACCACAACGCGCTGCATCGCCGCCCTCGCACCAGTGAACTCGAGTTCATCGCGTTGTTATCAAGTCATCATAGACCTCTGCGGTCGCTTCTTGGACAGCAGCATCGCCACTCAAGCACCACCTCAGGCAGCTGCCGAAGAGACACGGTCAACACCGAACTATGACACCACGGGTGCTTTGCAGGCTGCCCCTGAGCCTATCGATGAGAGTCCTCAGACGCAGATCAACAGCGTGTTCTCAATGATGTGGCCCAATGTTCCGCCGATGGAGGCTGCGGATGTTGTCATGGGTGACGATGCGTGGATGGAGTTCTTGAAAGGCGGGGCGGGAGGGGATGGGGATGGAATGTGGTTTGATAATTGAAAGTTATCTTTCAGTGTCTTATGATCTGATTCTGCAACGCCCAAAAATGTCCGAATAACCGTGAAATAATTTAAGATGGATTTCTAAGATGAGACCCCTTATGTAATCCCTAAATATGGAGAGTGTTCTAATGTGTCTCGTTGATGCAAGTCACCGCTCCACTGCCGCGTACGCCTTCATATTTCGGCTCTCATTTCCAACAAATTACACCAGAAAGGTCGTAGGTGGTCTGCGGTCGATGTTTGTCTCGAGGTCGACAAGTGTGCAAACCCTGAGGGTCGAATATTCTACCGGAAAAGGTTCGCGCCTGTCATAGGGTCTACCATTCCCATGTGGATATATATCTGCCACTAAAATCAGCTTTCTTTGCCTGATAGTATCAAGTTTTCCGTAGTTTTAGAGTTACCTCGTAGTTGATGATGTCGTCTGCGACGGAAACATTTCCAAAGGGCGAAGCCCGCCGGAGGGAGCGTCACAACAAGTGCGACCAAGGCGATGATGGCTTCGAGAGTGAATTCCATGCTTGTCATGGAGGGCCTTCTTGATACTGCCTGGAGCCTATTCCAAGTGCCTCGTTACGTCTTCACTTCATGTGCCTAGAAAGCGTCTAACAAGCGGATGATTGAGTTTTTGTGTGGAGGATGATGTTGAGTTGCCAAGACCAAAGCGAAGCTTGAATCAAATCGTGTCGCGAAGCACACGACGCTTTAATACGTATGTTCTAAATATGGATATAACTTCCTTTACGCCTTGCTGATCTAGCTGACTACCTGATTAGGTTCAATGATAATGGCATAAGCAAATGGGAATGGTCTTCTCACTTCTCAGCCATAAAACTGCAGACATATTCTCAAGTAGCCTGAATCACTCAGCCCCCGAAACACGCAGACCCTTGCATTTGTTTCCAGACAGTGGCCGAAGCCAATGAGGTCGTTATTTGGCGGTCACACCTGGACTTAAATAAGGCGGCATGTATGATTGGGTATCTTTCGAAGATACTGGATGCGACCAATCAGGCCTGTTCTTGTGAAGCATGATCAGCTTTCGACTGGATTCGCGCAGATATACTGCATGATGCGATGTCTTGGCTATGCCGACTTGTGTTGGCGTTGGCGCTAAGAGCCAAGCGTGGAAGCGTGTCAGCAACACACACACACACACACACACACACACACCTTTCCCTTTTGGATTTATTGAAGGAAATGGCTTCAGCCAATAATAATTGCTTCGGATGAGGCTGCATATTACCTTCTCCGCATCTTGCCTACATGTACATGTACGTTGTGGTGCACATAAACGTTGCAATTCCCCCTTCAAATTCGATCAACAAACTTTCGCAACGGCCGTCGATCCAATAACGAGGACTGACCCGAGACGGACAACTCTGTCAAGCCTCAAGACCGGAAAAATGCCCCCTGCCAAGAGGGTACCTCATGAGGACCCAAGATGGACAGAACGCAAGGCAGCGATCAGGCAGATGTTGACCGACGGCAAAACTCAGGAGCAGATTAGGCAAAAGCTCAAAGAAGATGGATTCTCAGTGACGTCCGTTTCGGTCTCACCCTGTTTGCAATGAATGCTAACAACTTTCAGGAAGGCGGAGATGGAAGCCCAGCTACGATTCTGGGGTTTTCGGAAGCGAATACCCAAGAATCAAACCAGAGCTGTCTGGCAGTACACTGACCATCATCTTTCGAGAAGAGAGAAACAAGGCAAGAAGAGCTTGGTTTACCACAATGGCAACAAAGTCGCGTCTTCTACAATCAGGAAAGAGAGGGGTCGATATCAGCCAGACACGTGGACGAGGTGTAAGACAGGTGCGTACTACATATACATCCAAAGCCAACCCTTTTTGTCTCCATGTCAAGTCTGACCTTGGCTCAGCATTGTACAGTCCGAAAGCACCCGAAGAAATCGAGATATTGATCCGCACACCAAGTCCAGCGCCTACTCATTTACGATGGGCTGAATCGCTTCCATGGCTTCGATTCCAGAAAAGTATATTGCCAGGTGAGCAGACTCCAAAGCATATGCACCATCTGTCTAATTATGACAAGGCATTCTGTCTTTGACAAGTCGAGGAAGAATCAAGAACAATCTTGGACAACCACAAACCTCGGTGCCGACAAATCTTTCTTCCTTGTGGATGTCTTTTCGAAACTCCTCTGGCTTGGCTGCCAATATCGCATCAATAATGCCAGAGTGTGATGAGAGCGAAATCGCCAATCGTGCGCAACTCCTGATGCGAGGACCGATGGACCAAGCCTTCAATGAACACGTCAAGCTCATTTTGTATCACCTCTCAAACAACATGGCAGAAATTCAAATCGACATTGAAGAGGACGGACATCGCTGGAGTGTCATTGTTGTTCTTATCATACGCTCTGGCATTACAAACCAGCCACTTGACCTCCTGCACGAGACCGATTCAACTCTCACATCCATCGCGGAAAACATGCTGAAAACTTGCATCAAATTTAGGATTCACTGCCGGTCGGCGGACTATTCCTCGCCAGGTTCTCATGAGTCCAACAACAAAATAATTAGGTGGCTTCTCGCTTCGGGACAAACCCCAAACTTAAGTCTCACTAATGGAGGCGAGAACATGTCACTATTACAAGACGCCGCAAGAGCATTTGACTGCCAGCTCTGTATTGACCTCCTCAACGCAGGCGCTGATGCAAACATGACTTTTGGAGAAGAGAGTCCACCACTTTTAGCCTTGCTGGAGGACCAATTTATGTGCTTCTCCGACATGACACCGGAAGAGCACGGTGTTTTCTTAGTTCTTGTTCGACGGTTTCTAGAGGCTGGCGCCTCGCTAAACGAACACCCACATGGCACAAGTCCCTCTGCACTCATGCTGGCAGTTTGTCATGACTTGCAAACAGCAGACATCTTGATCCAACACGGAGCAAGAATTCAATACCAGTCATGCCGTTCGAGCGATTTCATCCGAGGCGGCGGGCCTGCATTTTCGTCGGGACAAAGTTTTCTAGGATTCTCAGTCCTCAATGCCCCAAAATCTTTCCGACATTTGATGGAGCTCGCTCTGCAACAAGACCCGTCAATTGAGGCGGCTGATCTCGTCTCTGATGATGTTCTGTGCAATGCTGCCTCTCGAGGCTTCAGCGACATCATTGCCGATTGCTTCGAACTCAGCTATGCAACCGTCACGAGAGAAGCCCTATTCTCGGCTCTCTGTGCTGCTTCATATCATGGGCATCGAGAAACTTGCGAATTACTATTGCAGTATGGTGCACCTCTCGATAGCCCAAACGGTGTCGTCAACGGACCTTCTCCCCTTCACTTTGCGGCACTAGCAGACAATCATTCTGTTGTTGAGCTTTTGTGTGAACAAGGAGCCAACGTTAACATCGCATTCACATTCAGAAAACACCATGTATACCGGAATGTCAACCTGTGGGTGAACATCGTTGGAGATCTTGAGAGGGGAGGTGTTAACTGGCAGATGCCTTTCATCAATGCTTTGGGTGCGGCAATAGCTCGAGTACATCGCAAGATGACTTTATCGTTGTCGATTTTACTCCGTCACGGGGCTAAAATGCCCGTATGGGCTGCCTATCACGCAGCTTCCAGTTGTCAACAGCCTTGGCTTGCTTGTGCTGCCCTGGAAGAGGGAGTCGACTTGAACTGGCGCGGGCCAGATGGGAAAACACCTCTACAAGCCGCCTTAGCGGGGCTAAGGACTCCAACTCAACAGGAGATAAAGAGCGGCAAGCGAGGCAAACTCTACAGCAGAGAGGGTTGCCTGGAGGTCATAAACACGTTGGTGAGCGGTGGTGCCGAAACTGTTGGCAGCGAACTTCAACTGTTAGTTCTCCTGGAACGGTTTGACCTCCTCGAGCTTGCTCTACAGAGGAAATCCTTTTCAACTTCCCCGCAATCGACATTCAAAATGTCGGTCTTGGCTGCGGTGTTTCTCACGAGGTCCTTATCCTACATTCAGCAAGCCCTGACGCACATTCCTAGCACTTACGACCATGGGGCTCTTTGTGCTAGCGTCATGATTGCTGTCTCTTCTGGAGCAACGCATCCTCTTCAGCACTTGCTGAGCAATTATCACAGCACCACCGACACTTCTCACTTAGAAGGTATTGCCCTAGGCCTCGCATCTTGGTATGACAGGGTGGACATACTCGAAATGCTTCTGTCTCGGGTGTCGAGCTCAACGCCAGCTCTGATCCCCATCTACTCTGAGCGATCTAAAAATAAGATTGAGCATACTCCTCTGAAAGAAGAGATCGATAAAATTCTTGGCGAAGCATTTGAGGAGAAAATCCCATTTTGGCACCAAGAACCCCAGGCAGGTCTTCGTCTCGTGCTTGGCTCGCCCCTAACTTTTGCGCTCTGGTCCAACGACTGTCTCAATAAGCTCTTGCACCACAACTTTTACCCTGACAGACTTACAATCTCTGTGGCCGTACGCAATCGTGCGATCAATTCCCTTGAGATGCTAGCTCATCTGCCAACAGTTGATCATGGCCATGATAACGAACCAGGTCCACTGTATCTTTCGGTTGAACAGGGACTCATCGAAGTGGTCCGCCTTATGTTAGACGCCGAGAAGGATCCAAACGAAAACAATTATCTAGTCAGATCCGGAAGAAGTCCTCTCCAAAAGGCGGTCGAGGATGGAAACCTAGATATGGTGAAGTTACTTCTTGAAGCTGGCGCCGACGTCAACGCGCCAGCAGCAGAGAGCCATGGAGCTACGGCACTTCAATTTGCGGCTATCACAGGCCGCATTGGTATTGCAAGACAACTCATCGATCTAAAAGCAAACGTCAACGCGTCCGGGGCTAAAGAGGGCGGAAGAACTGCCCTAGAGGGCGCAGCGGAACATGGGCGGCTAGACATGGTTCACTTCCTCCTCAGTCAAAACGCGCAAGTTACCGGGAATTATCGTCTGCATTATTTCAGGGCGCTCAGTTTTGCACGCGACGAAGGTCATTTAGTGGTCGCCAAGCTTTTGGAAGACTACCAAAGCTGGTCTGACAGAGATCACGAGTTATGGGTCAACTTTCGTATGCTTTCGAAGGATGATCGTGAACGAATGGTTTCTATCAATGATCTTGAGGAACTTGTGGGCACCTCTGACGATGATTCTTCAATGTCATCTTTCAGTGGCGGAGAGCGTGATGGCTTGGAGCATCAGCAGCCCCTGGATGAAAGCCCGACAGAGCCTCAAAATCATCGGAACACGATTGGCGTAGAGGTCGAAACAGAGGTCTCTGCATTGAAAGAGCAATCCTTTCCCAACGAAGACTTCGAAACGCCATGGGAAAAGCACTTGGAGAGTACGAATCATGGATCTAAGGACCCACGGAAAGCCATGCCGCTCATGAACGAGCACGGAGGCATCACAGTCGAACAACAGACAACTCGTGCTTCTTATGCCGAAGTATCATGGAATCAGCAATATCAGACCTCGAATCGGTTTCAGTCTCGGGATTCTGTGGCTGCTGAAGGGGAGAGCGTGACATGCGATGAGAGTCATTCGTTTGACATGGATTGGTTTCGCTCTCAGAGTTCTGTAGCTGTTCAGAGAGAGACAGGGGTATGTTACGAGATTCTTGAGGGAGACATGGACTGGTTGGAAACACAAGACGATGGGAGCCAAATGTTTGACATGGACTGGTCTCAATAGCTGGAACTCGGATGACTTGGCTTTAAAGTTAGATGGGAAAGCTGGCGTTCTTGGAGTTGGGGTCTTACATAACTTGAGATTCGATTTCTTCTCGTAATTCAAATCACCGTTTGTGTATTCACGGCCGATCCAGAGAGACTACTGGCCATCGAGAAGCCAAACCATTATACTCCTACTCCATTGTATTGCCTAAGTCTACGAATATCTTCTCGGCGAGCTCGGGCTGATGAGGAGATGCGTGGGACAACTCGGTCAAAATTCCACAGAGGAAGAACCTCCGTCTCGAGTATAGTTGCACGTCATCGTGACCGATACTAGGCTCACGGTGAGAGGTAGATTCCTTCGTAACATCACTACCAAAAGAAGTTGTCGCTTACTGAGACCATGTCTCCTCAAGGTCCGGCACAATGTGGTCCTGAAAGCCGGTAACTTGCAGGCGCTAATGGGATGCTGTGAGAGTCACGGGCGATACAGCGCGTGTGCCGGCAGTCTTTGGGTTCCCTCCTGTTAGTGTCTTGCTACGCGTGTTCCAGTAGATTAAGTCTGTGACTGTGGGTACCTGCCGTAAGAATCTCTTCAGAGGTTCTGGGGAAAGATTTAATGCCGCAAAAGGCCTTGCTGGCAGTGAGATGCGCGTGGCGGGCGCGATGTAGGAGACGTCGGATTCACCGAATATCTATGTGTTCGACCTGCAGTCATCATGTTAGGTAACATGAGATACCTTGTCACGCAGCCGGGGTCGGGAAAGAGTAGCAGATATGCCTTGTCACTTGCAGTCTACCTACCAATACACGATCTCTAGATAAGATACAGGTTTGCGAGAACGCTTGTGGTACATGGCCTCATCTCATAGCTAACTCTCGATCAATCAGTGAACAGCTCCTCTCAAACTAGCAAGTCTTTCTTCTCAAAATGGTGTTTCTCGCGGCCTGACATGTATAATTCATGTTGCCGAAGAAGTCAACTCCTCATGTCCATCATCGTCCGCATCCCTAGCGACAACCCTCAGTGCCCACTGAATCTCATCCCAGTCTGTCTCTCTGATAGACAAAATTGTTGCTGAACGCCCGATCGGGCTCTTCTGGTCATCTGACAGCTTGCAGACACAGCGGCACAGCTTCTCCTTGCCGCCATGGCCAAGAAAGGCCTTGCTCTGTTCGTCGACAAGTCCACCGACTTTCCAGCTATTGAATGTGCCGGACAAAAACGGCTGACGATCAGTAAACAGGTCCTTCATCTGAAAGTGCTGGGTTTTCGCGGTGCTGTCTCGGTTGGAATAGGTGACTCGGGCGAAAAGCTCCAGGATGACGTCTTGCTTGTCGCGACTGCATTTCGTGTGTGCGTTGAGCAGCTCCCCGATCCTGAAGCAGGTTCGCAGCATGACCGTTGAAGAGAAGCCAACCACGACTGAACGATCGCGCATCTTTGCAGGGAATGGAGGTCTGGCGAACGGGTTCATGATTGGTAGAGCATGAACCGTGCTTCCGACTGGGTCGGGCTGATGTTCGTTGGGAATGGCGGGGACCTTTGCTACGCAGGCCGTGACGAGGTCCCAGTCGACGTCTTCGTCAAGAAGGTCGGGCTCTTCGCATGTATTCTCGTGGCTCTCGGTCGAAGTCGAATGCTGAAGTCCCGAGTCAAAGCTTGCCGGCGATCTTGAATCCCGATCCATTCTTTGGAGCACGCTAGCGGGCGGGACTCTTGAGAGATCAAAGTCTTGATTATCCGCCAACTGCAACATGTCTTCCTCATCGGAGTCATCAAGTCCGTAGTCGTCTTCCAGAGGTGGCACGTCCTCTGTCGTGGGTTTCTCAAGCTCTGTGGACTTGATGGTTGTCTGTGGACTCGATAAATCTTGGAATTTGTCTTCGTGATAGTCATTGGAGATCTGAGTGATCGGGGCGAGTCCTTGAGTGCCTTCTTCTTGGGTGTCTTCTTGACGAAAGTTGACGAATTCGTTCATCCATGAGTCGTCGTCATCGTCTGAGAATGACTCCTTCGTACCGACAAGTGGTAGCAAAGATCCGGGCGGGGTCTCAGGTATTTCGTAAGGCTCATCGCGAGAAGCCAAGTTAGATGGATCGCCTGAGGCCACAGAGCCCCTTGGGCTGATTTCGATTGTGTAGGATGATCTGAGCAAAGTCTGCTGGGACGAATCGCCTTCAAAGGACATTGTCGACGTAGGCAAAACGTGTCTTGCTACGCGCTTGTTTTGAACAGGGATCGCAGCCGGTGTCAATGATCGCTTCGGGGCATTGATAGGTGTGAAGCTGTAGATCGAAGCATCCGGACTGAAGAAGCCGCCATGGTGTTCAATACTACCATGTGGTTAGAACGTTTCGTTTGGGTCGAAAACTCGTACTCACAGATCAGCCATTCCCTCTGGTGAGACGTCCTGGAGACGTTAACTATTGAGGGAGAGTAGGTAGACGGCGCTTCACCGGGGTTCTTGACAAGAGGAAATGCATAGAATTCACGAGATGAAAAGTTTTCACATTGCGTCTAGAAACATCCATGGGAAAAGGGAAGGAGTGCATGTCGTAGCACCTTCCTTGAGAACTCAAGGCAAGAGCTTTAGGAAGACGCCTTCCGCATTGGATTCTTGAGGAAAGTGCGAGCCCGGACACACCTTCCCTACCAAAACCAGGATCTGCCAAATCCTTTATTCAGGAAGTTGCGACCAGATCGCAGCTCCCAGAAATATTCATGGATCTCTTCGGCTATGGCTGAGACGCCACTTCCCAGCTCTTGCCAAAACAACATCAACATCGCGTGTTGGCAGCTTGACCATGACGATATCCTCTCGATGAATTCGAACACCACATCTGCACCGTCGAACTATCGTATGACGTTGTAAGAAGAACAATCACGTGTCATTCCTCATAATTTCCAACGAAGAGAACGGACCTCAACCCTGACGGAAGAGAGATCACATGCCCTCCATCTTGGACCCTGAAAGATGAGTAGCGAGCCACCTGAGACAATGTTCATCCTACTAGGACGACGAAGACAGTGAGATCATTGTCTCGAACACATGAACTTGAACTTCTCGTTCGAAACATCGAGGGTCCAGGCTCGTGATGCCTTCATCGCCGCTTGGGAAAGCCACGACCGTTGGCTAGCGTAGGTGGTGAGTTTCCCCCACGGTATGTTATCGACGCACCGGTGTCTCGTGGAAGAGGAAGAAACAAAACGTTCAAATTCAGAATATTTACCGTCTTCAAAGGAAAATGCCGAGAATTCGGTTGGAAAATAGACGGTCGCCCGGACAAGTCACGAAACTGTTCGCAACCCGTGGCCCGGACCGCGCAACGGAGGCACGGGGATGAAGTGACATCAACCCGCAGGAAAGCCGAAAGTCAGGAGAACATACCCACACCGTTCCGTCCGGACGGGAACACCTCCCTTCTTCATCTCGATTCAGCATCCCACGCGCGATGCTGCCGCTGAGTGTCGATGAAGGCATTCACAAGCAGCTACGTCAGAACTTGAGCACATGCTCTGACAAGACACATGCCCTCAGAAGAACGAACCCCTCTACCCGTTGGGTAACTAACCCGGGCATGAGTGAACTGTCTCAGCGCCATGAGCCGCACTACCATCGCTAATGTTCTCACGCAGCCAAGCCACGACAACGAACGCTGGACGGAAGATGGGTAGACTGGTCTCAGGTGAAAGGACTAGTAGAGAGGAACGCCCAACGGGGGCATTCTGGAAAGAGTGCCTCGGCGGCTTGGAATTGTGCTACGAAAGCGCCAGGTCGCGGGTAGGCCGCGGTGATGTCAGTTCAACAGTCAGGTGAGCGCGAGAAATAGGCAGGGGGTGTTTCTGGTTGGCGTGTTTTAGTTAGCTCCGGGGATGTTAGCCATGTGGTTCCGGGGGGGACTGAGCTGCGAATCGAGGATTCCAAAGCCAAAGGCCGCACAGATGGGGGATCTCAAAAATAACACTAGATTATTGTCCGGTGTTTTCAAATATTCTGAGAAAATAAGAAATAAATTTGAATAAATTAAATCACTTAGTAAAATAAGAATAAAAATATCTAAAATACAGTTTTCCTTCCCCAGATCCATGTGACTAACACCACCATCACCATCGCGGAGAGGAGACGGATGAGATGACACATGTCGGGGTTGACGGATAGATGACTAACCGAGACTCTCGCAGGCCTGGGCAAAACTTACCGCCCGTAGCCGCGGTTTACAGCGGATTTTCTCGTGCTAGACGCCAATTAAACCTGTCCGAACACCGCGTCCACGAACCGGACCCTGCGGACGCCTTGTTGCGTTCGTCCATCGTAGCTGAGCCACTGGGAGACTTTTTCCTACTTTGCCTCGCCGAAGTTACTGGACTCCGTCGACTTCGGATCTCACGGTCAGCCACTCCTTCGACGCCCAGCAGGGGGCTGGTGGTTATCACTCGAGGCGGTGCTTCCGGCCTGCGATCATCGACGAAGAGCAGCACAAGCACAGCCCAGTCACGGCAGTCATCCATCATCAGCTGAAGGTCAGTCAGTCATCGAGTACACCAAATGCCGAAGGAATTCGTCTCCCCGCGAAGCTGCCTTTACGGATACGGCGTACAACGCGCAACCGATTTGACTTTGGCAATACTGAGTCACACCTGGTCTGTCAACCTCCGACAGGTTCTCGAGCTGTCCATCCAGACCATCGGACGCAGGGCCAGTCAACTCGAGCCGTCGGGGAACACATGGACCGTCGTGCATGGCAAGCGTCGTTCGTTCCGCATATCCAACTCTGAGCAGCATCGAGCTCCCTCCTCCGAGACCCCGGTACGGGACACACACAGGTCACAGTATTAAGCAGCGAAGAGAATGCCGGGAATTGGTGTTTGATGGAAGTCGTCGTCGTTTCCGTTTACTCTTACTTTTCTCGGCAGTATCAGTACGGCAAAACGTCGCGCGACGCCTTCCGTCAGACCAAAAAAGAAATCCGTCGCTGGCTAACCAGGTTCGAGAGTCCGACGAAGCCAAACAGCCGGTGAAACGGGGACTAGACGAATTGTTCTGGATTCTTGCGGTCTTTGGATATCCCCCATCTCGACAGGGGCCTATCGCGCCCCCGAAGAGTCCCCCACGCGATAATACACAAAACGTTTGTCTTGCGCGCGCGCGAGCGAGCGACCACACTTGGGACGGACGAGGGCAAGCAAGGGGGGAAGCCTTTGGGGAGATGGATGGATGGCGTTTGCTGCAAGCCCGCAAGCCCCATGGCGTGCGCATCGTTCCCAACATCTTGGGACATTTGACATGTCTGCATCGGACCTGATTGATCCAAATCTGGAGCATGGGGGGGGGGAAGCGAAGTGGTGGTGTTGAGAGAGGGAAACAAAGAAACAAAAATAAGGATATGATATCTTTAGAATTAAACAAGAATTAAATTAAAAGAAATAATATTCGGAGCTGAGTGTCTACCTTATCTGACTTGCATCCAATGTCACCACCACCACCACCACCATCACCACACCATCGCCAACTTGGGTTCCAATCGTTGATGCTGCCCCACCGTTTTCCCCAGATGACGGCTTGGTATTAATGAGCGGCAGCGCCAACGGTCCGCCACCGTAGTCCCCGCGTCCAGCGACTTTGGAGACTTTAGAGACCTCCGGGCAGGGCAAAAGGTACCTTGCCAGCGCGCCTTCGCACCCTCCCCGTTTCCCCTTGCAAAAGGTTCCCAACTCCCGTTCCTCACCGCTCGGAAAGGCTGACTTGGACTTGCATAAACACCATGGTCACCGGGTGCCTTTCTCTGATGTGTTGTCAATTCTCCCCTACACCCAGGTGTCGCAATCCCTCTCACGGGAGACCTATCTCGAGGCCGCGGCATCGTCATCACTGAGAATATTGAAAGGGGGAAAAAAAAAAGTAAAAACTTCACCACGAACCATCCGAGGTCTGGTGAGTCGGCAGGTGATGAATTCCCAACTTCGTCGTCGTATTTCTCACCCAACATCGAGATCTCGAAACAGCGACAAACAACCTGCCACGACAGCCAAACCCAATACAGGCAGGCCCGGTGATGGTCCTTCTCCAAGCCGGGGAAAAAAACAAGAATTTGATGGTGCGGTCGGGCTCTGCACAAACACACATACACACCAAAGCCCGCTGCATCTCCCGGTGTAATTCTCTCGGCAAAGAGAGCAGTAGTAGATCTCACTGCCAAACAACTAGTACCTGACCGAGCATGAGATTTCCAAAAGGCACAATTGACAAACCCGTCGCCGTCACGGGCCGTTTCCTCTCGGCCACTCGCCCGTCTCCAATCCCTATCACTATCACGGTCCTTCCTGCGCCTTTTGCCTCACATGCAGACCGCATAGCTTCCGTCGCGCTCCCCGGGCCACTGGCATCTCATTCATCTCGCCTCAATACGAATCGCCCACGCACACGCCAGATCGCATTGTTTCACACCATTCTGTTGATACTTCTCTACCTCTTCCTCACCGGCCAGCCCGGCCATCTTCTCAAAAACGGTTTACAAGTGCCGTTTTCTAAGATCATAACGCTCTTCCCTCCCCCGCCTCACCGTCGCGGCGGCATCTCAGTCCGTGTGGCGTCTGCCGTGCCTCCATGCCCTTTGTAAAACCCGTGCAACATTCCCTCACGTCTAGATCGACCGGTCGCAGATGGAAAAATGCAATAAGATCAACCCACTGACGGCCGGTGAACACAGCGGTGGTGAACTGCTGATGCCCCCCCCGCCCGCCACATCCTCCCGTGGACCCTCTCGTCGCCGGTCACTCGGCGCTTGGTATGTCTGCGTGTAACCAAGACACGGCGCGGGAGGGGAGTGGAGGGGGCCAGGTGAGGCGAGACAGATGGATGGAGGCCCGTCGACGCTGCGGCCGGAGTGTCGGTGTGCCCTCGCTACGTACAGCCCAGCACGTCACGTTCGCATGTGTCTGCAGTGTACGCTGTGCGGTGGCTGTAAGAATAGAGGCCTCGAACATCAAGTCGTTACGTTTGGCTTGGTGTTGTTGGGCAGCGACTGAGCACACTTGGCTGGTTTTCGGTGACTGCTTTCCCCGGATTCGATACACCTTGGCCGTGGTGAGATGCGGCGGCATCACGTTGTTGAGAGACAATATTGCCAGCTCATGCAGACTCACTCGTCATGTGCGACGCTGTTTTCCAGTCGACTGCGAATGTTTGATGGGCGAAATGATTGCATTCATCATGATTTTGGCTTACGTTGGGCAGAACTTTGATGATTTTGTCCTGGAAATGACTTCAATGGCCACGTCGAAATCACCTGGCTTCGTCAACTGGTTCCTAGGTGTTGGTAGTGTTGAGGCTTCAAGAGCCCTGTCTCTGTCTGCTTTGCCTCACGAATGTTTAACTTTTATTAGAACAAATCATGCAAGTGGTACTTCATCATTATTTCTAAAATATATTCACGATTCTCTTTTTATTCATTATTTAATATTTTCTATCACTTTTGCGTTCGCATGATAATGCATCGTCTCACTTGCATGATACCGACTGAGTGGCGTATGCTTGTTTCACCTGCCGGTGGCTTCACTGGTGCTGTATGTAGATACGAACCTGTGGCGCCTGTCGCTTTCATGGTTAGTAGGTGGTTATCTACATCCGTGGCTGGGCACTCTGATCAACTCTCAAAATCGGGATGGGGATTCATGGGTTGACCGGCGAATCATGCAGTGTTGTTCGTCTAGCAGGCATTGTTCATGACGCATGAATACTCAATGGTTCGGTAAGCTGGTATACAAAATAGGCCTATGGCAGGTGAGTCTGGGCTGAAAACTGCTATATTCTGAGATGGTCAGTGTTGATACCATGCTTGAAAGTAAGAGGCAGTGATAGGCAGCATGCTTGCAACAGAGGCTGCGAAGGGACCGTCGTATTTCACTCGAGCAAAGAAATATGAGTTTTCCCATATACAATTAATTCGTTATGTGACGATTTCTAATCTCAGGCTGCTTAGCCATTCTCGAACGATGAGTCAACCGGGGACGGCGGCTACTGCGATGAAAGGAAATGGCCGATAACATTCTTCCGCGGATCTTACGGCAAAATCTGTTAAGCGAGACCGCCCTGTGCCCCACTTTGACTCACGTCGACTCATCAAGCATTCATCTTAGAGCCGAGCGGAACAACGTCACGGACATCACAACATCCGGTCCGCCGTCCAACGTCCGCGTCCCAGTCGCCACACCAGACGACAACCCTCAAATACGGCCGCTCATCGCCTCCAACCCGGCATCGCAGGATCTTGGTTCGACAGCATCCCGACAAGCACCAGCTCGCCCGCCGCCAAGCACTGCTCCTGCCCCGCAGTACCCGTCCTTGTTCTTGCATTTCGTCAGTTCAGCTCATCACATTATCAACATTGAGCACTTTTCCTTTTTCCCGTCCGACAACAACCCTACCCGTCATGATCTCAATCACCCAGCAGGGCGGCAACACCCAACAACAGGCCGTCCCCCGGCCCCGCAACGACCGCGTCGTCCCGAAGCCCGTCCCGGAGGCCCAGTCCAAGGATCCCCGCGGCTACCAGCTCGGCCAGCTGCGCAAGCGCTTCTCGCCGCGCGAGTCCACGGCCGACGACGGCTCCACGTCTCTCGTCTTCAAGCTCAAGCCCTCCGACCCGGACTTCCCGTTCGAGCTCGAGTACCTCGACTGCGACCTCCGTGTGCCTGAGGACTACCCGGAGGCGACCCCGGTGCTGCGCGTGCGGAATAGCGATATCCCGCGCGGCTTCAGCGTCAACATCGAACGAGGATGGGATAGACTCGTTCGTGAGCGCCAGGGCGCCACTCTTCTTGCTCTCACTTACGCCCTGGACAAGAATCTCGAGGTGTTCTTGTCGGAACAGAAGGCCGACACCGTCAAGTTGGTGTCCTTCCAGCACACCAAAGACACCCGCCACCTCGAAGCAGCCGGTGCATCGTCCCCGACACCGACATCTCACGTCGCCAAAGCGCCATCGCCCCAACCTGCCCCCGTCAGACGCTATGTACCCGAGGAGTACTTCACCCAAGAGGAGATGGCGGCTGCCAAGGCACGTCGCGCGCAAGAAACCCGCCAGCTCGAGACTCGTATGGGCCGTATGTCATTATACCGTCGTTCTCCCGACGGCATCGTGTACACCCTGCCCCTCGAGCCCCGCCGCCGCAGCGAGCTTCCTTCCGGTCTGCAAGGCGTCAAGACGGTGCATCTCATCGTGCCGCTTCTCTACCCACTGCAGCCGCTACGCATCCAGATCAACGAGTGCGAGTCTCAGGACGCCGAGCCGCTCGAAGAGCTTTTCGTGCGGAAGGCTGCCGAGCAGAAGCAGATGACGCTCACAAGTCACCTCAACTACCTCGCGCAGAACATGCACGTTCTCGCGAAGCAGGCCCTCGCGCCGCCCAAACCTGCGAAGCCAGAGCCGGCGGTGTCTGAAAAGGACGCCAAGGCCCCGGCTTCGGCCCCGGCCGATGAGGACCGGAGCCACATCAAAGTCATCCCCCGGCCCCCGGAGTGGGACCACGGCCGCGGCGGTGCCGACGACGACGACAACGACACATCCGACAGCTACGACTCGGAAGACGCATCCGACGACGGCGGCGCCAACCTCGACGCCGAAGCACTCACGCTGTCCTCCGGGCTGACCCCCGAAAGGGGCACGGCCGTCTCCTTCCCCGACATCGAGCTCTACAGCATCGAGCTCTTCCAAGTCTCCATCCTCAACCTCAGCGTCAAGTGCACCCGCTGCAAGACCGTCAACGAAATCACCGGCCTCAGGCACGAGGCCTCCCAAACCTCGAGCTGTCGCAAATGCGCCACCGGCTTCGCCGCCCAGTTCCGCCAGCAGCTCGTCCACGCAAACTCCACCCGCGCCGGCTTCGTCGACCTCACCGGCTGCACGGTCGTCGACATGCTCCCGAGCACCTTCATCCCCGTGTGCGCCAAATGCTCGACGCCCAGCCAGGGCCTCGTCGCCGTCCGCGGCGACGCGACCACGAACGTCTGCCGCACCTGCCACGGCAAATTCACCTTCAAGATCCCCACCGTGAAGTTCCTCGCCATCAGCACCGCCAGCGGCCTCGCGGCCCCCGCCGCCGGCCCCGTCAGGAAGGCCGACAGGCTCGGGCTGCACGCCGGCACGCCGCTGCCGGACCGCGGCGCCTGCGCGCACTACCGCAAGAGCTACCGCTGGTTCCGGTTCTCGTGCTGCAGCCGGGTGCACCCGTGCGACCGGTGCCACGACGACGCCGAGGACCACGTCAACGAGTGGGCGAACCGGATGGTCTGCGGCTGGTGCAGCCGCGAGCAGCGGTACTCGCCCGAGGCGTGCGCGTTCTGCGGACGCAGTGTCATCGGGCGCAAGGGACACGGGTTTTGGGAGGGCGGTAAGGGGACGAGGGATCGTACGCTCATGAGCCGGAAGGATCCCCGGAAGCACAAGAGGGTCGGCGGCGGAGAGTCTTCGAAAAAGGAGTGAGGTTGTTATTTTTGGTATTGTGTTTGAGAGGGTGTAGTGTGCGGATACATGATACCAGTAGCCTGATACCTCATTACAATACCAATCGACCTCTGACAAGGTCTATCATTTTTTTCGTCTGGCTGACGTATAATACCAAGCTAATACCGCTAATAGACCTCGGAGCGGCTATACCACACCCTCAAGATCTGACGCGACGGTGATGACTGCCGCCGTCGCCCCCACGGAGCCGAGGCGGTAGATGGATGGACCGGATTCGCTGTGCATTGTCATTTTATGCAACATCCTCCAGGCACGATTTGTGACACGACTGGTTTAGAAAAATGATTGGGTAAAAGTCGTTTGCGAATGGCTCACATGAGCATTGATATATTCGATATGATTGGGGTAAAAAAGTCGAAAAAGGCATCAGAGGCTGGCTGGGTTAACATCATTGGCTTAAATTCGTAGGCGCCTCTTACCACCATCCATCACTCGCTCAGCCCCAGGGTAGATGACGACGGCGTGAAGATCAGCTATAATTTATCACAGAAAAGTACAATATTTCAGGGAGAACAAAACATGGAAATGATTAATTATTTTTTGTATTTTCCAGGAGAAATAAAGAAATAAGAATTAAATATCTTATTTCCAGCGGTGAATATTTTTTTCATCCCCTGAAAGCGCCACAATCCAACCTGCAGAATCTAGCCAAGCAAATCTCTTCCTCTGAGATTCTCTACCCCGTTAGACTCGATACTCCGCGAAGAGATCACGCGCATCAGAAGCTGGGGAAGTGAGCGAGGAACGACGGCGACAAAATCCCACGAATCAGATCATCCGGCACCACCTCTGACCGGCGCGCCGGGGCCCCGGACCGGAGGTGTGGAGCTAGGTGACCCGACCGGTTGGGTTTTGTGGGGTGAAGGCGACGAACGGGCGCGCTAGCTCGCTTCCGGAAGATCGGGTCCGTGCTTTTTCAATCTCGGTCGCCCGTTGCAGATATTGGGAAAAGAAAAAAAAAAACCCTCATCGGATGCACATGCAGATGCGGGCTTGAGGGGTGCTTAGCTGACCGCTTCGTGCGGGGGGGGATTGGATGCATGGTCGTGTCGAAAGTCGCGGAGGAATTCTCCATTTCCTCTTTCCTCCAAGGGGGGGGCCGGCCACGAGGATAAATCACACCACATGCGACGGACGGACGATATGCGTGTTGGTTCTCGCTTCGGTCGATGTTCACCGGATGCGGGATACCGGTGTGCAAGGGGCGGATATTGAAGCGCCTCTTTTTCGTGCCTTGCATTTTTCCATCAGATCATCTCTCCCCCGCGTTTCTCCTCACCGGCACCAAGTCGCGTGTGGATTCCTCCGTGGCGGACTTTCTTTCTCGGTCTAATCTTTGAGGGGGGGGCTTTCACGTCCCAACCCGTCCGGCTTACTTGGGCCGCGCAAATGTCTCTCTCTGAAGCAGGCCGGTTCTTCAAACCTGCCTTTGGTGGAGAGGGGACGGGATGATACAAGGCGTGCGCGAGTTGTTAGCCCGTCAGCCGGGTTAGCGTGTCATCCGCCGCGATAGAGCTCCTCTTAGCTCGTGTAGCTCTGAGCTGTGGCAGCTTGGTTAGCTTCCCCGGAGAGTTTTGGCATCATCTAGTGACACCTGTCGGCAAGTATTGTCTGAAATGTCAAGTGTGACGGCACTGGGAGAAAGGACTGAAATGTTTAGGCTCAGCACTACGTTTCCGCTATCACATCGGATGTGTTCCCCTAGAGGACGTCTTGCTTGTTCTGAAGGATCTAAAACAAGGTTGTCACAGTGAACCACTGACGCCGCCTCGCGGTAGTATGAAAAGCATACGGGACTCTCAAGAGTTTCCATTCGACACGGTAAAACAAGAAGCTCTGATGCTCTCTCATAGTCCGGAGCGTGCAGGCCCGGCGCAGCACCAAATTTCGGGATCTGCGTCCCGGGGGCCCGCAAAATGGCCGTCTCCCGCTCGGCGTGTTGCTCCGGGTCGTAGTACTGCATCAGTGACCACACAATTCGGCTTCTGACAGTCGCAGCTTAATAGCCTGTGAGACAGACGGGTGACTCTTAGGCTGTGTTAGTCAAATGGCGGTCATTTAGACGGATCAGTCAGCCCATTGCGCCATGCGGCTCAGTTGTCAAGAGAGATACATAGGTCCAGGGGCATACCTTCAATAATTAACCGTTCAATATTGAAAATTCCAATAAATTTAGGTTGCGTATTCATTCATGATAATTCATTTCGATAATAGCTGGCATTATTAAACGCCAAAAACGTAAACGGTCTCGCCTCTCAACCCGGATGTGCAACCGTTACCATTTCGCATCACCTTACAGGAGATGACTCTGTAGAATAGCCTTTCGTATGACAGTGACTCAACGTCGACCTGCGTAATAATTCTACACCCTATCTTTTTATCCCGTCGTTATATGCATTGTTTCGTCATCATATGCGGAGTGTTAATCTACCCCGGGTTTCGCCTCCAGGTTTCTTGATCTCATATCCTTCTTTACCCCGGAATTTCGACGTCCAACGCGGGCGCGCCGCGAAAATACACCTTGGTCCGACTCGTTTCTGATCATCCAACTGGCTCGCGATAATTATGAAGCAGCGCCCTGCCACCTCCCGCAACTGAGCCGCATGAGCCTTGGTTCCAGAGCCGGTACTCATGAGTCGTTGTGTGCGTCCCCCCCTCGTCCCAGAATACGAAATGTCAGCCGGAGCTCGACCAACGAGAGGCTGCAGGATGCGAATTGACGTCGTCACGATGGAATTTGCCGTCTTGCTGTGTCAGGACTCTTTGCATGTGAAATTCGCCCATACCACCACCACCACCACACCCCGCTTGCAGCCTCCCCGACGTCGCGGGGAAAGGGAAGAACGAATAACCACCAACAGCAACGGCGGTCGTCGAAGCATGTGAAGTGATCCAAGCTTCACCTTCATGAATCAGCCGCAAGGACCCTTCTTCTTACCCCCCGTCGCCAAAAGTAAAAATAAGGTGAGCTCCTTCGTCCGGTCGAGGGGACGCCCATTGACAAAGCGTGATCCGGGGAACCCATGACCGCTCGACCTACTGACTCCCGGAATATCCCCCTTCAAATCGCAAATCGCAAGGATGGAAACCTCCCGCCAACCATGATACAAGCTCATATACGGCCTCTTTTTTAATCTTCGTCCCAAGTCATGGATGTTCTAGCGAGAGAAGGAGACGACCAACAGGCCAATCAGAGCCCTTCCGAGTGCGTTACGGCGCGACGGAATTTGACTCGCATCTCTACCCATTCCTATTCTTCCCGTCGTCGGGGCTTGTAGCATCGTTACGTACGCGCTTGTTCCCGTCCCTCAACTTGGGACGACAAGACACGGGAAGAGGGAAAGTCAGCAAGAGGGAGGACCATGAGAAGAAGACATGACTCCACTCCCCCGGTCCTGTCGCCCGTTCTCCGTCATGCGCATGCAGGAACGCGTTCGACGAGGAGGAGGTGCTTCATGCGGCGAGGGGGAAGCGGTTCTGGACCGGTGGCTCTCGCTTTCTCACACGTGATGGGATTAATTTAGCTGGGGGAGGGGGTTTCTGTCTTTCGATGTGTACGAGTGAAATGCGAATTCGAAATGGATGGTGGCATGGCTCGTGATATTTCATGTCAATGGGTGCTCTAGTTGCAGTAAGCGTATTCAAGCAGCTTCAAGCAAACCGAGGCCGGCATCAAAATCCGGGGTTGCAATCTGCAATGCTTCCTGATTCGGCAATCCCAACCACCGCCGGGAAGACGAAGCAGCCACAACCGAATAAATTGATCGTAAGGGGGACGCTATTCCCGTCTCCCGAATCCAGACCGAAGACGAGGACGAACCATGGAACATCCCAAGTGACCGGTAATTATCCCGACAAAGACCCTCGGGAAAGGGCGCGGGTTTACCCCACAAAAACTAAACTGGCAGAGCCTCTCTGTTGGAGAAATGCGTTATCGAAAGCGTGACAGGTCGGCTCGGACCCGATGAGACGAGGGTGATTTGCAAGGTCCCGTGTGCAACAGCTCTCAAACGACGGGCAACCAACCCTACGCAACTTGCCTGCCGGACTAGACCGCGATCATATGCCAGAAATTCTCGTGAGGCTGACATAGTGTAGTCACGGCTGCGTCAAATTAACGAGAACTCGCCGTCCCCAAGGAGCAGCCAAGCTTCGAGGTAAGCAAAACCGCACCCCCCTCTGTCTCCCCGCCTTTGACGCCCAACGAACTGCCATTCCCTTGTCTTTTGATTTTGGGCTTCGATTTTCCCAGGATACCAAGGGGGAATGGGGACATGGAGAGGGCACCTCCACACTCGTGAAAGAATCGGCCGAATCTCTGTCCCTCCCCCACTTCGCAACCGTAAGCGCCCCAGGTCGTAACGTCCATGGGGGCCAGGCCTGGCATTTCCGTTAACCTAGGAACCGCCTCCTTGGGAAGGTGAAAGTGGCCCGGGTTGAGTCTTGCGAAAGAAATCCGCAAAGGAGCCGCAGTCCAACCGATACTTTCTCCGGAAAGGCGGAGGGAAATGGCAGGCAAAATGCCACGCGGCGCCGCAAGGTATCCAGCAATGCGGACGTAATAGCTGCGAAAGTCTGTTCAACTCATGATGTGGGAGTGAAGCACATTCTTCTGACTCGAAGAGGATTCATTCCGTCTTGGTGACAAATTCGAGAGCGATGTGTGGTCGCGGACTTGCTCCGAAGAAATGCCCCTCTCATCTTCGAGAAGAAGCCAAAAAAAAAAATTGCACCTGGAACGGAGGTCTCGGAAGGTGCCTAATTTTGCCGTCATAACGCCGTAGCTTCATGCCAGAGATGCAGATGCAGGTACAGATGCGGTTTAGTCGTGTTGTTTACCGACCTGTCAAGACCAGAATGCCGGCATCGTCTACTCCACTCGTTGCAAGGGGAGAGGAAGGAGGAGGAGAACCAGCATCACGAACCTCGTTTCTTCGTAACCGAGCCTCGGTGAGCGC